TTTTTATAAATTTTGCTCCATTTGAATATTGGAGTTAATTATCCAATTACAGCTTTAGCCCATGCAGTCCCATCCTTGTTTTCTCTCTTCAGTCCTTGTTGTTTGTGCTCTTGGGGCTGAAATTTGGATCATTTGTCCTTGGTCCCCAGCTAGAGAAGGAATTGTTTTGTCTCCCTGCTCTGTGCAGAGAGCTCACCATCCCCTCATATGAAGCCTAGACTTACACACTTAAGCAAATGAAAATCTGAAAAATACAAAAGCTAAAACCTGAGGCATCACCTGCAAGGAACAGTCACCAAACACTCAGGAGAATATTTTTTTTTCTCCAGCTGCTGCAGGAAAGCAATGCCAGTTGCCATCCTGGCAGGTACAAGGATGAGAAATCATCAGGTATAATTTAATACTATTAATATGTTGTTCCAACAGCAAACAGATTTGGAATGTATCAGGCCTTTGCTATAGGCCTCCCAGGGCCAGCAGTGTGGCTGCTGGCCATGCCAAGCATGGAAAAGCCCTGGATTCACTCCATACCACCCAGAATGTTTAAAGGCACAGCTGAACAAGGTGAGCAGCATTTTGTACCCCAAATTTTAAGGGGAGGTTGATCCTTCTACAAAACTGCATGCAACAAGGCCAAACAGAACTCCAAGGGATTCCCAAGGCTGGCTTCTGCCCCATCCAGTCCAAGTGATCCCTGGTGTAAGTACTTTTTAAGTCAATACAGAACTAAACTTAATTAACATGGACCAATTAAACTGTATATTGGCAGTTTAAAACAGCATTGAGTTACCAGCACCTGGGAGATGCACATCTGCATCAAAACAAAGCCCCAGACACTCAACTCCAAGCCTGTCACTGCTGGCATTTTGACAACTGTACAACCACTGCTCCTTCTTGACTTTCAAACTTCCTTCCCTCTCAACACCAGGCTGTGACACCACTCCAAAGTGACCAAATTCTTCCCCAAAAGGATGAAAAGGAACCCTCACCTTCTGTGGGAGCTGCTGCTGGGCACTCTGCTGCTGCTGCATGACCTTGGGGATGGCAGCCGAGGGCTCCTGGGCTTTGCCCTCCTTGAACTCGCTGACCTTGTGCCGGTAGTAGGCATGGTAAGGGTCGTTGGGGTTCAGGAAGTTGAACTTGGGGTTATTTATTTCATTCTGACGAATTCGGGCTTCAAATTCTGGACCATTTCTGGGGAGCAAGAAGAAAATTTGTTTAGATCATCATCAACTCTAGGGTAAATGTTCTCTTTCAGACTGGGACATGTTGAGGCACCAGCCCCTTGAAGATCATTTTCTCTCTCACATGTGAGGAGTTTCTCCCTCAGCAGCTCCCACCCAGCTGGACACACACAGTTTAGATGCAATTGTCCCCTTAATTCTGTCTTTAATGTGAATATTAAATATTCACACTCACAACTGTTCCACAGTCACATCTGTCTGCACTCAAAGGTCATTGCCACCACTGACTGAAGTTTACAGTTATGAAGCATGAAGTTGACAAGTTACTACATCAATTTTATCTGCTCTATTAACAAGTTCTCAAGACTAATTTCAGTTCCAGAACCATCATATAAGGAAAAAAAAGCAGGTAAACATCAGCCTGTGCAGGGACTGACCAGCCCAGAGTGCTGCATTCAGGAGCCCCAGCCCAGGTAACACCCCCTCCTCCCACCTGAAGCACGAGCCAGCTATTTCAGGGCAGTTTGAGAAAATTCCCAGCTGCCACAGGGTGTTCCTCTTCATATTCTCTGGATATCTCCCAGTCTCATTTAGACATTCCACCTCCTCCAAAAGAGGAGGTCTCTGCAATCCCAAGAGATAAACACAGTCCCTTATGCTCAGAAGCAGCCAGCACTCCTTGGCAGCACTTTGGAGATGAGTTACACAATAAGGGTTTGACTGGAGCAGCGTTTAGTAATTCTCTGAAACCAAACCCCACCACATTTTAGCACTAAAACACAGCCATGACTCCTGTACCAAGGCTCCCTTTGCACCTGGAATTTGGTTTCCCCTTCAGATCATTCAGAACAGCCCCGTTACCCAGTTATTGCAGCACCCACTGCACATTTGAACAAGGATTTTATTTATTTACTACCACTTTCTCCAGCAAAGGGTGCCTTACACCCTCTTCAGTAGAATATTGTTTCTTTTCCAGTCTCAATCCTTAAATCTTGTATGCAAAACCACAAAACTGGGACCTGCTTCAGCTTCTAGAGCTGCACTGAACAGCAGAAGGATGAAAATGCCAGGAGAAAGACACACCAGCAGTGCCACTCACCTGGCTACAAAGCTGGCAGTCTTGTCCACAATATTCCTGACCTCTGGAGGAGGGTAAATAATCCCCACCACAGGCTTGGCTGGTGCTGCCTCCTCTTTAGGCTCCTCTTCTGGCTGTAATAAAGAAAGTTTCATTGCAAAAGGTGAAGGGGTGTCAGGATCAGGCATTCCAAACACTCCCAATGGCACAGAGGAACCTTTATCCATCCTCCTCCTCAGTCACTGAACTGGCTGAAGAATCTGGAGCATCCACCCCACCTATTCCTTGGATTCTCAGGGGCACCTGCTGCAGGGGCAGGGACAGCAGGACAACAGGGAAGGTGCCTCAATGGGAATCACAACAATTTTCCCTGTATCAGCCTTGACCCCAAGGCTGTTTTTAAATGCTGAGCCAGGAGTCTCCAGTAACATTTCCAGGAATAATTCATCATTCCTCACCAGCTGTGGAAGTTCTGTATCTTCCTAGGGGACCTGAATTATTAACTCCACATTAAATAAATCACAGCTTTTAATGCCATTGTAGTTGCAACAGAAGCTGATTTGAAGAGAAAATCTCCAACAGAGTGTTCTTCTGATGTTACAGAAAGATCCAAACTAAAATCTCAGAACCCTCCCTGTGAATTGCTCTGTATTCCAGTAAAACCAGGAGCTGCCTTTGCAGGATACTAAAGATGCTGCTTCTCTTTCCTCACCAGGCAGCTCCAAGAAATGGTGTTATAAACAAGGACAGATCTGCTGGAAATGTTTATAATCCTAACAGGGACAGCCAGGGATAACTTAAAATCCAGGTAGAGCTCCCAGCTCTGACAAATCCATGGAGAATCCAAGCCAGAAAATGGTCTCAGGCCAAACTGGTCCCTGGCAGTGCCCAAGGCCAGGCTGGACAGGGCTTGGAGCAGTCTGGGACAGTGGCAGGTGTCCCTGCCCTGGCAGGGGTGGCACTGGATGGGCTTTAAGGTCCCTCCCAATGCAAACCATTCCATAAATACAACCCTAACAAAGTGTGTTAAGAGAAAGGCACCAGGAACATTTCTAGCTTTTATTCCCACTCCCTCAGAACATCATCTTGAGGAGCTGAAGGATGGGGCAGCATCACACTCGAGATATTTTATTTAACAGTGATGCCAAGTTGCCTTGGTAACCTCTGTGCATAAAAGCCACTGGGTTTTTAGGGGGAATCCAAATTTTCCAAGGATCTCAGTAAGATCAGCTCCCTGACAGCTCCAAGAGTGCTGATGCTGCTGTGTGAGAGTCAGGACAGCAGCTCCAGCCCTGGGGGAGCTGAATTCCCATCTCAGAAATGCAAGAGGAATGAATATTCCCATCTCAGGCTACAAACAACATGAAAATGGCCAAGGGAGAAAGGATCTGGGAGGGTGCTGGGACACACAGCCCTGCCACGCTCCCTCAGACTTTCAATCCCTCCACACATCATTCCTGGAGCCAGGGCAGCTCCCCCAGATCCTGGGCACCCCCCACACTCACTGCAGCCACAGCCCTGGGGCACTGCCAGGGAAGGGCTCAGCTCCTGCCCAGCCCCAGCAGGATCCCGCTGTCTCCAAGGCATCCTGGAATGGTTTGGGTGGGAAGGCAACCTGGAGCTCACCTCACCCCTCCCACTATCCCAAGCTCCTGGTCTTGGGCACTGCCAGGGATCCAGGGCCTGCCCACCATTCCCAATATCATTCCCAATATCCCATCCATCCCTGCCCTCTGGCAGTAGCAGCCATTCTCTGTGTCCTGTCCCTCCATCCCTTGTCCCCAGTCCCTCTGCAGCTCTCCTGGAGCCCCTTTAGGCCCTGCAAGGGGCTCTGAGGTGTCCCTGGAGCCTTCTCCTCTCCAGGTGAGCACCCCCAGCTCTCCCAGCCTGGCTCCAGCCCTTGGAGCATCTCTGTGGCTTCCTCTGGGCTCTCTCCAGCAGCTCCAGGTCCCTCCTGTGCGGGTCCCAGGGCTGGGCCAGCTCTGCAGGTGGGGTCTCACGCGAGCGGGGCACAGGGGTCACTGCAGCGCTCCGGACTAAACCGCAGCTCCCCCAGCCCAGCGCAGCCCGGTCCGTGAGGGCCCCGCTCCCATTCCCCGGGGTTCGCGCCATCCCCGCTCCCCTCCCTCACTGCCCCTCCCCTCCCGCACCGGTTTGCTCTCGGCGGGGGGCGCGGGCTGCGCCGGAGGCACAGCCTGCACGGGTCCGGCGGGCATGGCGGTGCCGGAGCCGGGGGCTCCGCGCCGGGCGGGGCCGATCGAGGGGCGGGCGAGGCTCGGGCCGAAGCAGCGGCGGCGGCGGCACCGACTGGGACGAAATGGCGGCGACGGGCGCTGTGCCGCGCGTGCGCGCCGGAAGTGACGCAACGCCGGCGGGAAGGGGGCGGGCACAGGGCGCGCCCGCTGTGGGATGTACCATTAGCGCCCCGCGCGGGGGGGACACTAAAACAGGAATGCACCACTGCGGGACGGGAGGGGCGTGGTTGCCATGGCGACAGGGCTGGGACGCCGAGGCCTAGCACGGGTCGCGGGCTCCGCGCTTCTGCTCCGCGGTTGCTGCTGATTGCTCCGATCGCCCCGGTTCCCTCCGGTTCCCCAGCACTCCTGGGGTACCGTGCCGGTGCGTCTCCAGCAGCCTGTCCCGGTAGGGCGTTCCCTGCACCCCTGGCCCATCGCTCCCCGGCCCGGTGGCCCCGCTGTTCCCGGGCCGTGTCCCCCTGGGCCGGCCCGGCCTGCACCATGGCGCACCTCCTGGGCCACCGCGGCTGCATGGAGAGCCTGCGGGCCGACCTGCGGGACCTGCAGGCCGCCATCGCCGACGTGTGCTCCCGGGCCGGCGCCGTGCGCTTCCCCTCCTGGAAATTCCCCGACAAGGTGTCCTGCGAGCTGGACATAGCGGTGCTGCTGCAGCGCTACCGGCACAGCGACAGCGAGCCCGAGTTCAGCCAGCACGCACACGTGGTGCTGCTGGAGCTGCTCATTGACAGGTGAGAGCTCACAGGCAGCCCGAGCGGCTCCTGCCCTCCGGGAGGGGCAGCTGTGTGTCTGACCTGCTGAGTTATCAGAGTCCTGGAGGAGGTTTTGGGCACCTCAGCACAGGGAGAACTCAAAGGTGTTAGAGAGCATCCAAATGAGGGCTGAGGGTGAGAGCACCTGGTTTGTTCAGCTGGAACAGAGAAGACTGAGGTCAGAGCTCATCAGCTCCTCCCGGGGTACAGTTCTGATCTCTGTGACCAGGGATGGGATTCAAAGAATGGCTGGAGCTGTGCCAGGGAGGTTTGGGCTGGATATCAGGAAAAGATTCTTCCCCTAGAGGGTGCTCAGGCATGAACAGGTTCCCCAGGGAATGATCACAGAATCAGCTGGGTTGGAAAAGACCTCGGAGATCATCAAGTGCAACCTATGACATAACACCACCTTATCAATTAATCCATGGCACCAAGGCTGCCAGAGCTCCAGGAGCCTTTGGCCATTGCTCTCAGGCACAGGGTTGGATTGTTGGGGTGTCTGTGCAGGGCCAGGAGTTGGACTGGATGATCCCTGCGTCCCTTCCAGCTCAGGATATCCCCTGATTTTATGAAATCTTTTGGATGCTTTGTTCCCCATGTTTCCCTAATGAGCAGTGCCAGCACCACAGCTTCATGCCCTGCTGAGCTTTAAAACCCAACTCCCTTCCCTGCTTAGAGCTCCCAGCACAAACTGGCCACTAAGAAGCAGAGCCAGAGGTGGAGCAGATGGGACAGGCTTGTTAAACTGCCTCCCAAAACCTTGGAAACACTCAGACACAGCTGCATCCACAGCCTGGGGAGGCCAAAGCCCCTCTTGCAATCTGAAATAAATACAGCTCTGGTTTAAAAGATGAGCCATTCCCACTGAACTGTTGGCCCTAAAATCAGGATTTAGAGCAGCATGGTTGCCCCAAATCTTTGGGAGGAGCTTAATCACAGCCTCTGAGAAGTGGCTGCTCCACGCAGTGATCCACACCTGGGCAGTCCTGGGAGCACCAATGCCACCCTCCTGCATCCTGCTGCTGCAAATCCTGATTTTAGGGCCAATAGCTCGGTGGGACTGGCTTATCTTCTAAACCAGAGCTGTATTTATTTCATCCAGACTGCAAGAGGGTCTTTGGCCTCCCAGGGCTGTGGATGCAGCTGTGTCCGAGTGTTTCCAAGGTTTTGGGAGGCAGTTTAACAAGCCTGTCCCATCTACTCCACCTCTGGCTCTGTTTCTTAGTGGCCAGTTTATGCTGGGAGTTCTAAGCAGGGAAAGGAGTTGGGTTTTAAAGCTCAGCAGGGCATGAGGCTGTGGTGCTGGCACCATGGAAATACATGGGGAACAAAGCATCCAAAAGACTCCATAAAACCAGGGGATACCCTGAGCTGGCAGAGCTGGCAAGGACGCAGGGACCATCGCTTTGCCTGGGTGATGGGAGGGGGCCCAGCCGGCATTCCCAGCTGTGTTTTCCCGTCGGGACAGGCTCCTGCTGCTGCTGCAGAGCTTCACGGGCTACGCCGAGGCGGTGCTGAGCGGGCGGGCGGTGCCGCCGCCGCGGGGCCCCGGGCCGGGCATGTCCGCAGGGCTCACGGCCAGGACCTTCTGGAGCTCCATGCTGAAACTCGGCGCCTTCTGCCAGCAGCTCCGGGACCAGGTGGGACATCTGGGCTGGGACATTTGGGGACGTCCCATGAGCTGAGTCACTCCCCTCCCCGGATTTGGATCATGGTCCTTCTCACCACGCCAGATGTGCGCGCAGCCTCTGAGTGCTGGCCCCTGTGTCACACATCTGTCCCCTCCCAGCCTGAGTCCCTTCCCTCCACCCCTCCCAGCTGTGCCACTGCATCCATCCTGCTTCAGATTTCGGGATGAGTGAGCTGGGCTGCCTCTAGAGCTTGGAAAATATTCTCCTACTGCCAAAATGCTGCAGCGCTGCTGATCCCACTGTGGATCTGAGCTGCCTCAAGACAGTGAAATTATTGGTGGTAAAAACAACCTGTCTTGCGTTTTATTTTCCCCAAAATGATCTTTCTCATGGAAAAGTCTCACAACAATCCATGTGGCAAAACCAGGAGGCAGTGCAGGGGGTGGGACAGAAGGGATGGTGGGGAGCTGGGGAAGAGGTTTTGCTGCTGAGGCTTCCCCGTGATCACTGTTCCTTGGCTGCACTGCTGTCCCATCTCCACACCTGATTTAGGCTTTTATGGGTCATTTCCTCTTTGATCTGGGCTCTGGTTTTGTTCTGTGCTCTCTCCTTCGGGAGAAGGGTTGCAGGTGGGAGATCCCCACACAGCAATCCACTCCACCCTGTGCTCCCTAGGTTGAGAAATATCAGAAGGAGCACCTGGAGTGCATCTTGCCAGAAGTTTTGGAGTCAGGAACTGCCTCAGAGGCTGCCCAGCCCACTTCTGTGTGCCCAAATCTGAGTGTCCAGCCCAGGGCTGGCCCCAGCCTGGCTCTGAGCACCCGCAGTGTCCCCACACAGACCCCTGGGTCACCCCTGGGCTCCTGTGACACCTGCTCCAGCGCCCAGGCCAGCCTCCACGAGGTGGGCAGAGCCATCACCAGCATCTGCCAGAGCCAGAACATCCCTTCAGCTCTCAGCAAATTCCAGGAGGTGCTGGAGGACAGCACAGGGAGAAGGAACCTCTCTGCAACAGACATGAGCTACTGGGCCTCGGAGCAGAGCAAGGACCTGTCCCGCATCAACAAACACTTCCAGGGGCTGCTGCAGCAGCTGAACCCCGTGAGGGCTGAGCTGGAAGAGATGGGCAAACAGAAGGACAAGCTGCAGAAACAGGTTGAGGACTTTTCCAGGAAGCTGCAGGCAGAGAAGAGCACCCATGCAGAGCAGCAGAAGGCAGCTGAGCAGAGCCTGAAAGCCAAGGAAAAGGAGCATTCTGAGGCTGTGGCCAGGCTGGAGGAGGAAAAGGATGACCTCAGGAGAGGTACAGAGCTGTTCCCAGCTGTTTCCAGCATCCCTTCTGTCCTGGGTTGACACCCTCCCAGGCCCGGGGGCATTTGCAGGAAGAAGAACAGAGTCCATGGGCAAATTTTGGCCCCATCACCACCAGCATGGCCTCTTGTAGGTGCTGGGGGATTTTCCCTGCTGTGAGGCCAGTCCTGGGCAGTGGGAGCTGGTTGTGTGTGTCCTATCACTGCCTCCTCCCTGGCAGCACAGCACAATCACTGGATGGAAACACTTTGGTGTGGCTGTTTGCTGCCCCTTGGTTTGGTTGTTTTTGAGGAACTGATTAATGGGAGGGGTTTTGTGCTGGTTTAGGAGCTGCTGTGCTGGAGGAGCAACTCTCAGCCCTGAAGGAGGAGCTGGCAGCAAAGGAGGAGGCTGTGCAGGAGCTGGGTAAGGGGCTCACCCAGGGGCTCACCCAGCTCACACATCCCCCTCCCCCTGGCCTCACGAGTGTTTCACAGCCCTGTAGCCCCCAGCACCCCCAGACTGGGCTGTGGAGCTGTGGGGATGGGAGAGGATGGGCCTCCTTCACAGCAGCACCCCAACATCACCCAGTGCCAGAGTGGCTGATGCTGGTGGAGGTTTGGGGGGGTCACAGGCCTCCTGTCAGACCTGCCTCCCTTTGCCAGGGCCTGTGGAGGGCAGGGGGTGCCCCTGAGCCACAGAATCATGGACTGGTTTGGATGGGCAGGGACATTAAAAGTCCATCCAGTGCCACCCTCTGCCATGGCAGGAACACCTTCCACTGTCCCGGGCTGCTCCAGCCCCAGTGTCCAGCCTGGCCTTGGGCACTGCCAGGGATCCAGGGGCAGCCCCAGCTGCTCTGGGCACCCTGTGCCAGGGCCTGCCCACCCTCACAGGGAATAATCTCTTCCCCCTATCCCATCTAACCCTGCCCTCTGGCAGTGGCCATTCCTCCTTGCTCTGTCCCTCCAGGCCCTGTCCCAAGTCCCTCTCCAGCTCTTTTGGAGCCCCTCTAGGCACTGGAAAGGCTTCTTAAGTTCTCTCTGGAACCTTCTCCAGGCTGAGCACCCCCATCCCTCTCATTACCTCCATGGTCCTGCAGCCTCTCTCCCCTGCCCAGCCTGGGCCATGGTGGCTCTGTCTTCCCAGAGCTCTCCAAGACCACCTTGCTGGAGGAGGTGAGCACCACAATGGTGGCCCGGAGCCAGGCGCTGGAGTTGGAGGAGAAGGTGCAGGTGCTCACAGGCCAGAGGGACAGCCTGGAGCAGGAGCTGAGTGCCACCAGGGTGCAGCTGGAGCAGGATCTGAGCGCCACCAGGGTGCAGCTGGAGAAGGAGAAGGTGCATGTGGAGAGCCTGCTCCGGCACGAGGAGGTACAGCTGGAGCCTGGGATGGCTGAGCTGCTGCTGCTGCTGCTGGCAGGGCTGTGGGGAATGGGGGCCACAGCCCCACACGGGCTCACCCCCCAGCACAGTCCCTGCAGGCCAAGCAGAGCACCCTGCTGCAGCAGCTGGACAGCCTGGACAGGGAGCTGGAGGAGCTGCAGGCCAGCCTGGGAGAGGCCGAGGAGGACAAGGCCCGGCTGGCAGAGCAGCTGGAGCAGAGCCAGCAGCAGAGTGGGAAACAGCTCCAGGCACAGCAGGTGAGTGCTAGTACCCAGGTGTGGGACACAGCCTGTGCCACAGGGCTGCCACAGACAGCCACACACTGCCCCCAGTCTGAGGGGATGCATAGTGGGTTATTTGAGCCTGTTTCGTGGAGGAACATGAGATGGACAAGCATGAGGCCTACGATGATGAATGGGAGGAGGAAACGGAGGGCAAAGAATGGAGTTAGTGTGGGGTTATCGACAGAGAACCCACCTCAGGCTCATTCGACCCACAGCCAGAGTTGTCCCAGGAGGGGCACTCTGGGACCCAGGGTGGCATTGCCACATGGCCACATCCTCATGGGTTTCCCTGGGGAAGAGGCCTCTCCCTCCACCCTGGGCCAGACAAGTCTCTGGTTGAGTCAGGGCAGAGGAGAGCAGCAGGAAGGGACATCTTGAGGTGCTTCCACATCTCCAGTGTTCTGTTCTTGGACACCTGGACACGCTCCACACTTTGTGGTTGGTGCTCCTGCTTCCAGCACACACAGGAATCTCACAGCTAGAACCCTGCACATCGTCCATTTCCAACTGCCGCAGAGCATCCTTGTCATTAGGGAAGGGTGGGAGTCTTCCATGAGGGGCTGAGTCCTCACTCTTGCAAACTTCATCTCATCCCTGCTGTGCCATGCAGGAGCTGCTGGACACGCTGCAGCAGGAGAAGCTGGCACTGGAGCAATCCATCCTGGAGCTGCAGGCGAACACATCCCAGCTGCAGGAACAGGCACAGGAGCTGAGGGAGCGGGAAAGGCTCCTGGTGTTCTTCCCCGATCTCCACATGCCCACTGAGACGCAGTTTGAGAGTAAGGGAGCAGATGGCAGCACAGTGGGTTTGTGCCTTGGGGTCTCCAGAGCTCCCAGGGGATCCTGCTGGCCCCAGACACTCCCACTGATACCCAGGAAGGGCTCAGACCCCGTGTGAAGCTGTGACCATCCCAGCGTGCCTCCCTGCACAGGTGCTGTGCATCCCACATCAGGGCCAGGACATTGAGCAGGACCAGGACATGGCAGAGCTTCCTTTGCCCACAGGGCTTGTGGTCCCAGCTGCCACCTCCCGGGCTGTGCTGCTGCTCCCTGCCCAGGGCGGGCAGGAGGGGTGCCCACACCTCTGAGCAGACAGGCAGCAGCAGGCTGGGCTCTGTTGGATTTTGTCTGCAGGCAGTGGGAACTTTACAGAGGACATGAAGAGTCAGCTCCAGGCCAACAAGATCCGGATCGAGGTGCTGGAGAGGGAGAACACACAGCTCGAGGCTCTGCTGGCCAAGGTGAAGGCAGCAGCCGAGCAGGGCGTGCTCAAGGTGAGCTGGGTGCCACAGGGGCAGGTGCTGGGTACCCCAAAACCACCCCGTGGCCACCTTTGGGGACATCCTTTGGGGACCCTGGGAGGGCCAAGCCCAAGCTCCTCATGCTGCTGGGAGGTTGCTCTGGTTTAATTGGTGTTGTCTGAGGTCCCGGGGCTGGTTCCAGCTCCTTTCCATCATTGTGGCCATTGTGCCACCAGTTGTGGTGGCCAAGGGATGTGATTGGAGCTGAAGCTGGTGGGGGGAAATTTCACCTCCTCTTCCTTCCCCCAGCTTGTCCCACAGGCCCAGCTGCAGTCCCAGCTCCACAGGGCAGCCAGCAGGGAGGACACTGGGTGAGTAGGAGCCCAGAGGAAGGGGCTGGGGCGGGTTCCCTGCTCTTCCTCCCCTTTAACTGCTCCCACCCCGCAGGCGGCTCAGCAGCGGCAGCAGCAGGGACAGCCCAGGGCTGCCAGGATGCATGGACAAGGCCTGGCACAGAGCTCCCAGCAGCCAGCACTCCAAGAAACTCCGGGCAGAGCCCTCCCCCCAGGCCAAACCCTGCCTCTCGCTCCCAGTGCGACGCCTGGGGCTTGGCCTCCCCTCGCTGCACACCGGGGCTCACCGCAAATAAACACGGAGCAGTCTGAACTTCCTGACACAGAAACTGTTCCACCAGCAGCCACCTGCCCTGCCCAGGGGACCTCGTTACTGGTTCTTTGTGCGTCAGGAAGGGAAAGCTGGGCTCTGCCTGGTTCCCTGGAGAGCTGCTCCAGGGACGTTCCTGGGCACTGGGATTGATCACCCTTGGCTACGCTGCTGCTGGAGTTCCCAGGAGAGCCCTGGGGCTGATGCCAGGGCACAGTTTCTGCTAGCTCCTGCCAGGAACCATTCCCAAGAGGGGACTGGGATGTGGCCACACTTGGAAGAGGAAAGCAGAGCTGGCCTGGGATGAGAGGAGTCCAAACCACCCTCAGCCCACCAGCACAGCCACAGCTTGGGAAAGTCATTCCTCCCTCTATGAGCCCCGAGGGGCTGGGAACCACCAAGCCACTGGCACAGGCTGGTCCTGGCCTCTGAGCTGCCTGCCCAGCACTATGAGCCCTGTGCAAGCCCCACACAAACCACACAGCCAGCCCTTGCTCCATTTTTAATAGGGATGGACACGTGCCACGTTGCAGCCTGTGGGGCAGGACCCAGGCAGGGCCCATGGTGTGTCCCCAGCGACCGTGCTGGCTCTGCAGCTGACTCGTGCCATCCTTTCTAATAAGTTATTATAAATAAAGCATCCAACCCCTGCCCTCCCATGGTGAGGCCATGAGTCACCCACAGCCCTGCCAGCCCCAGCCCTGGCAGAGCTGTCACCCACCTCCCAGAGGGGCTGGCACTGCAGCCAGGCTCTGCCTACCCTGCCACGGCCACCAGCAAATAGACAAAAAAACCCAAGACTTAGAAAAATTGCTGTGAGCAGGGCAAGAGCACAGCAAAACCAGGGCTCTCCCTGCCCCAGCCCCCACCCCATTACACCCATGGGTGCCCCAAATCTTCCCTCCCCAACACTGCCCATCTGGACCCCCCACCCCTCTACTCACACCCAGCAGGAGAGCCCAAAGTCCTTCCCTCTCCGAAGTCTGGGCACTGTGATGGGCACAGCCACACCAACCCTGCTGTGGCAGCAAGTGCCTCTCACTGGGCACCCCCTGCCCCCTCCCTGTCCCTGCAGCAGCCGTGGATCTGTCCCTGGAGTGTGTCCTCGGGCCAGCTAGCTGTCCGTGCAGCAGTTCCCTGCAAGGGAGGACAGACAGACAACCTTGGCACAGGGAGCCTGGCAGGCTCCAGGTGCTCCCCAGGCTGTGCTCCAGGGTCAGCGGGGCTCAGCTGGGTGCCGGGGCGGTTCTCACCCAGGATGTTGCGCTTGCAGAGAGGGCAGGTCTGCTGCAGCAGGAGCCAGGGATCCACACAGTCCCGGTGGAACTCGTGGGAGCAGGGCAGCACCCGCAGCCACTGCCAGCAGGGAAGTGAGGGCACATGTGAGCACAGCTGGGTGCCAGGGACACAGCCCAGCCCCTGCCAGGGACACCCTGGCCCAGCCAGCGAGCAGAGGCTCAGCCCAGGGTGGGCTCCAGTCCCACCTGGCTCTTGTGGAACTGGTCCAGGCACACGGCACAGCTGTCGATCTCACAGGCCCGGCTCCGGGGCGGCTTCCCAGGGTGGTACCGCCGCGTTTTCAGCGCCAGCAGCCGCCGCCGGATGTGCTGCTTCAGGTCCAGCTGTGGGGCAGAGCCGAGGGTCAGAGCCCACCCAAACCCCGGGCACAGCGCACGGCACAGACATCCCCACATTCCCACCTCGGCATCCCGCTCCGACAGCTCCTGCCGCGACTGCCGCTGGGCCTGCACCATGACACCGGTGCAGAGCAGCAGGGCGATCAGCAGGATGGTGTTCCACAGCTGCTGCAGGTACTTCTGTGGGGACAGCACCTTGGGCACAGCAGCCGGAGATCCAGCCCCACTCCCAGCCCTGCTCCCAGCCCTGCTCCCAGTCCCACTCCCAGCCCTGCTCCCAGCCCTGCTCCCAGCCCCGCTCCCGGTCCCACTCCCAGCCCCACTCCCAGCCCCATTCCCAGCCCCACTCCCAGCCCCATTCCCAGCCCCACTCCCAGCCCCGCTCCCAGCCCCACTCCCAGCCCTGCTCCCAGCCCCATTCCTGGCCCCACTCCCGGCCCCACTCCCGGCTCCCCCGGAACCCTGGTTCCATACCTGGACCTGCGAGCTGCTCTCCCCGGGGCAGATGACCCCCTGCCACTCCCCGTAGAGGCCCCCTCGGGACAGGCCACAGGTGGACCAGAGTGTGAGGGTCACTCCCTGCAAGGCAGGACACGGCATTGCTGATGGCCCCAGCAGCATGCAGCAATGGGAGCACACGTGTCCCAGGAGGAGGAACACTGCTGCTGCCAGCTGCCCTGTTCCCATGGGCTCCCTTCCCTTCCCTTCCCTTCCCTTCCCTTCCCTTCCCTTCCCTTCCCTTCCCTTCCCTTCCCTTCCCTTCCCTTCCCTTCCCTTCCCTTCCCTTCCCTTCCCTTCCCTTCCCTTCCCTTCCCCCTGCTCTCTGTTCCCTGAAGCTGCTTCCCATGGATCAGAAAAGTTTGGCTGGGCACAGTCATGCCCTGCTCTCCCACTGGCAGAATGAGGAAGAGGAGGACAGACAAGCATACCAGGTTCTCCAGCAGCACTGCCTGGTACGTGATCTTGGCCGTAGCCCGGAGCCCGCTGTAAGCAAAGGGAAAAGTGTCAATTCCATGGACACAGCAGGATTTGGGCACAGCTCCCCCGTGCCAGGGAGCACCCCCTCCCCACAGGGATGGGCAGTGACCGAGGGGAACCAAAGGAACACAGAGGGGAGGTGACAGCAAGACCCTTCCTCGCCAGCTGTGCCCAGTGACCCTGCACAGGGCTCTTCCTCTCAGCCTTGTGCCTCAGCTTCCCCATGTGTGACACCATGGCAGCAATCCCAATGTCCCACATGTCAGGAGGATAGACAGGGTCCCACTGCTGCTGCTGGTGAGAGCAAACACCCACAGAGGTTGTGGGGGTGGCAGTGCCATGACAAGAACCAACCAATCTGGATAATTTCTACTGAGAGTCCTAAAGCTCTTGGCTGAGGCCACCTGCCAGCACATGGGGACCCATGGAAGGGCTCCAGCCCTGGGGAAGGGCTGGATCTGACCCAGATCTCCCCCAGAAACACATCTCAGCCCCAACTGGCCTTGGAATGGCTCAACACCACCCCAGCAAACATGATGGGCTGAGTGAGAGACCCCAGGGTGGTCCCTGGGTGTCACAGCCTGCTGGGGGACAAAGCAAGGACAAGGACAAGGCAGTGACAAGGCAGGGAGCAGGCAGGCTCCAGCCCAGGCCGTACCGCAGCAGCGCTCCCAGCAGCCTGGTGACATTGTCCGAGGATTGGATGACGATGACGGGCTTGGCCAGCAGCTGGGACACGTCCAGCTGCAGCGGGAGGGAAGGGAGTGGTCAGCGGGGCACGAGCCCGGCCGGCCCCGCCGCCAGCACTGCCCTACCTCACGGATGGCGTTCTGGTTCAGTGCCAGGATCAGCAGGGCAGAGGCCCCCAGCACCAGGGCTCGCTTCATCTGCAGGGACAGCGGGGACACGATCAGAGGACAGCAGGGCTGTGTCCCCAACAACCTCCTGTCCTGCTGCAGGAAGCACCCAGCACATCTCTGCCATGGTGAAGGGTCACAAGGGACCCAAGAGGGGTCAGAAACTGTCAGAAACCCCCTGGGCCACTAAGCACAGACCAGGACCCCCCCAGATCTGGCCAGGAGACACCCCAGGTGACACCCCTGTGGGTTTGTGACCTGCAAACACCACAGCAGCCCTCAGGGGACAGGGCCAGGCAGAGGAGACAGGGTCACACAGAGGGTCACCTTGGTGACAACAGCGGTGGTGAAGGACTCCTCCTTGGCACCCCGGGGACCCTCGGCCGGCTCCTCGGTGCCCACAGGCACCACCCCGATCCAGCTGTCAGCAGCGCTCAGCTCCGGCTCCACGTCACCCACCTGGGGACATGGCAAGGACAGGGAGAGCTGGGAGGGACCCCAAGGTTCAGGGCACCCCCAAAGCACCCCCATGCCCCAGGGCTCCTAGGGAGCCGAGCACAGTGTGGGGACAGGGACAGCAGGGGGGTAACAGAGGGAAAACGGCCTGGCCCGCAGTGCCTCTGTGCCCCTGCCGGCACCTCCTCTCTGCTGCTGGCACACCCTGGGTGCCTGCCCTGGTCAGTCCCCAGTGTCCCTGGCCTCCCCACCAACCCCCCGGTGCCTCCCAGTGCCCTTCAGCTCCCACTCCTGCCCTGCTTCATTCCTTTCCCAGTGCCCGAGGACGCACCCAGCACCCACCGGCCCACAGTGCCGCCTCGCTCCCACTGACCGCTGTCCTGCCACTGCCCCCTGGTCTCTCAATGTCTCCGAGCTGCCACCGCTTCCCCCTCATCACCGCCACCCAGCACCCACGTCCCCAACCCCACACCCAGAAGCCCCTCAGTGTCTCCCAGTGCCCCCCGTCCCCACCGTTCCCCTGCCCCCCCCCAGTATCTCCCAGTGCCCTCCAGTTCCCACTCCTCCCCTCCCAATCCCTGGCCAGTGCCAGCAGCACCCCCAGCCCCGCTCGCCGTTTCCCCGCGCTCACCAGCACCAGGCGGCCTCGGATCTCCATCTCCTCCCGCTCCCCCCGCGGGCCGCCCCGGCCCGGCCCGGCCCGGCCGCCCCCCGCTCCCAGCACGGCCCCGCGCAGCGTGTACGAGCCGCCGGGCACCGCGCCCGCGCTGCCGGCCCCGCCGCCGGCTCCATCCCCGTCCGGCCCCGCCGCCCCGGGCCCCGACACGGCCACCTCGACCCGCGCGGGGGTGGCGGGCCCCGAGCCGGCCCGGCCGAGCGCCAGCAGCGGGGCGAGCAGCGCCGCCCGCACCGCCGCCATGGCTGCGCGCCCCGCGCCCCGCAGCGCCCCCTGCCGCCGGGGAGGACCCGCCGCGACACACACCGCCCGCAGGGGGAGCCCGAGAGCCCGGAGCGGGATCGGGATCGGGACCGGGACCGGGATCGGGACGGGGACAGGGATTGGGACAAGGACAGACATGAGGACAAGGACAGGGACAGGGATTGGGATGGGAACCAGGACAGGGATCGGGACAAGGGCTGGGAGAGGGATTGGGACAAGGGCTGGGATGGGGACAGGGACTGGGACTGGGACAAGGACCGGGAGAGGGATCAGGACAAGGACAGGGAGAGGAATCGGAACAAGGACTGGGACTGGGACAAGGACAGGGATTGGGACAAGGACAAGGACAGAGATCGGGATAGGGACCGGGACAGGGACTGGGACAAGGACAGGGACAGGGATTGGGATGGGGACCAGGCTTGGGATGGGAATCGAGACAGGGATTGGGACAAGGACTAGGATAAGGACAGGGACAGGGATCAGGATGGGAATCGGGACAGGTATAGGGGCTGGGGGAACAGAGATGGGGATGGGGATGCAGACCAGGATGAGGACAGAGAGCAGGAGAGGTACAGTGACGGGGAGCAGGGACCAAGACTGAGACAGGCACAAGGACCATGGCCAAGATGGACACTTGGACAGAGCAGGGACAAAGAAGGTGATGGGGACAGAGACCGGGATGGGGACCAGGAAGAGGTACAGTGACCAGGAGAGAGATAGGGACAGGGAATTGGGACCAGGATGGAGATCTAAACATAGACAAGGGCTGAGACTGGGATGGGAACCAGCACTGGGACAAGGATGGGGCAGGGACAAGGACAAGGATGAGACTGGGATGGGAACAGAAGCAGGAACCAGGTGGAAAACAGGAACAAGGAGAGGCACTGGAAGAACAACAGGAAGTGGGACCAGCATGGGGACAAAGGTCAGGACCAGGACCAGGATGGGAACAGAGAGAGGGACCAGGAGGAGGATGGGAATTAGGAGAGAAACAGGGGCAGGGACTGGGAGTGGGAGTGGGAGCAAGACAGGGACAAGCACTGGGATTGGAATGGGAACCGGCAGCAACAGCAGGACAGGGACAGGGATGGACTCAGGGACCAGGAAACCAACTGTCACCAGGAGAGTGACAGGGACAGGAACAGGAATGGGGACACAGATATCCACATCCCTGTGTGTGGATACAGGGACACATGGGGACACGTGTGCTCTGAGGGAACAAGGACATGGGCACCCACAGCCATGGCACAGGCAGGGACACAGGCACCCCTGGGTGACATGGACACACACCAACACCCGAGTGCCCAAAACACAACTGCCCCCTGCACCAGACACCCCTCAGCACCCCCAGCCTGGGGGGTGCCCAGCAGCCTCCAGTGCCACATCCTGACCCCTGGGTGCCCCATCCTGACCCCCGGGTGCCCCATCCTGGCCCCTGAGTGCCCCATCCTGGCCCCTGGGTGACCCATCCTGACCCCCAGGTGCCTCATCCTGACCCTCGGGTGCCCCATCCTAACCCCTGGGTGCCCCATCCTGGCCCTGCTCCGGCCACGTGTGCCCAGCACATGTGCCTCCGGGGGATTTGCTGGCTGGATTAGCTGCAGCATGGGCCCAGGCTGACCTGCTTTTGGCAGGGGCCACGCTGGGAATGGGACTCAGGGCTGTGGGACCCGGTTCCCATGGCTGCAGGGTGCCATGGGATGGGTCTGGGTGTGTTCCTGTGTCCCTCGTGTCCCCAGCCATGTTTGAAGTGCGGGGGTTTAATCACAGGATGGGCACATCCCTCCTCCCACGGCCGCAGCCGGAGCCGGTTTAACCACACGGTGAAACATCCCGATTGCAGCGGGTCTGGCTGTGCCATAAACAACAGCCGGGAGCACGGCTGGCTCAGGAACAGCCGGGAGTGTGGGGACTCTGTGGGTTTGGGGGAGCACCAAAATGGGGCCTGGGGATGGCTCCTGCCAGAGCTGCCCCACAGAGGAGGCACATAAGGGGTGTGAATGCTCCGTGGAGCATCTGTAGGTTTGTGGGATAGGGGTGGCTTCCTGGGCAGCTCCAGGGGACACTTATGGGTCCACAGAATGTGGATGGCTCCATGGGACATCTATGGGTCCCAGTTCCAAGGGACACACACGACTCCATGGCACATAAATGGCTCCTTGGGACATGCACAGACAGGAGATAGATGGTTCTGTGGGACATCCACAGCCCCCATGGTTTCATGGGATGTTTCCATGGGTTATCCATGGACATGTATAACTTCACAGGACACCCAAGGGACATCCACAGCTTCATGGGACAAATAGGGTTAAATAGGGTTCCATAGGACATGCAGAGCTCTCTAGGACAACCATGTGTCCATGGGGGACATGAGGCTCTGTGGGACATCCATGGGATACACACACCCCCATGGGAATCCTGCTCCTGATCCCCATTTTCCAATCACCCCACCTGAGCCCTCAGTCTGTCCCTGCCCCCATCTCCCATCCCTGTCCCTTCTACCTGGCACCCTGCCCCAGTCCCTGCCCTACTTTATGTCCCTGTTCCCACCTCCCATCCCTGTCACTGCCCTCATTGCTGTCCCCTTTCCCTGACACCTGGCCCATATCACCATCTCCCACCCCACAGCCACATCTCCCTCTACACCCCAATGTCCTCCCACACCCCCTGACACCTCACTGTGCCCCCCAAACTCTCATAGGGCCCCCACCGTTTTGTACACTTCATAACCCCCAGAGCCCCCTACACTCATCTCTCCCTTGCTCCCCAAATTCCTGTTCCCCTGCCCCCCAAGTCCCCTGTGCCCCCATTCCCCCTGTTCCCCATATTCCCCATGCACTCCTACCCCATATGCCCCCTACAGTCCCCAAGTCTCTCCTACCCCCAAGGCCCTCTATGCCCCCATATTCCCTATAAACCCCAAACCCTCCCAAGTCCTCCATACCTCCCATATCAATTATAGCCCCCACACTCCCCTATAGTCTCCAAGCCCCCCTGTGCGTCCTCATGCCCTCATACCCCTATAGCCCCCATACCTCCAGCCCTCCATGTCCCATGTGCTTCCCATGCCCCCATACCCCTCCATGCCCCAATACCCCCATACCCCACAAGTTTCCCATACCCCCACATCACTTACAGCCCTCACACCCTCCTATAGTCCCCAAGCCCCTCTGTGTCCCCATATCCCCCCTGCCTCCATCACCCCCCGCATCCCCATCCCCGACCCCGGGGCGGCGGCGGGCGCTGACCGGGCGGGCAGGGGTCGGGCAGGGTCCAAGGCCACGGGGGTGGGCGGGGGGCCGGGCCGGGCCGGGCCGGGCGGGCCGGGGGGCGGTCCCGGGGAGGTGCTCGGATCCTCCCCGGCCGGCGGGGCCGGGCAGAGCCGCCCGCAGCGCACCATGAGCGGCCGCGTCGGGGACCTGAGCCCGCAGCAGGCGGAGGTGCTGGCCCAGGTGAGCTGGGACGGAGCGACCGGGGAACTGCGGGGGGACCGGAGCCGGGGCCGGGGCCAGGGCCGGGGCCAGGGCCGGGCTGTCCTCCCCGATGTGCGCCCGCATCCGCCGCGGGACCGGCATCACCCCCACCCCGCACTCCAAACCCACCGGCAGCACTTCTGCTCCCGGCCCCGGGGGGCTCCGCAGCCCCCCACAGCACCCCCAAACCCACCGGCATCACCCCCGCTCCCGTCCCGGGGGGCTCTCACCGCCTCGTCCAGCCCCCACATCCCCGGCTCCAAACCCACGGCATCACCCCCGCTCCGGCCTCCGGAGGGCTCCGCACCCCAAACCTCCCGGCTTCACCCCGATTCCCGGCCCCGGGGAAGTCCCATCGCCTTCAGCCTCCACCCCGCCCCCCAAATCCGGCCCTGGGAGGCTCCCGCTGCTTCCATCCCTCATCTCGGACCCCAAACACGCGGGCCGAGCCCCACTGTGGCACTGCCCACAGGGCCGGACCGTCCTGGGTGGGTCCTGGCGGTCCCGCTGGCTGGACCATCCCGCTGGTGGGGCCCCATCCCTCTCCCATCCTCCGCGGGACTCGGGGACCTCCTGCCTCACTGCGGGCCCTTGGGACAGTGCCCTTCTGCCACCTCCATCCCACCCTGCGCCCCAGTCCCACGGGCTGAGCCCCCGTGGTGCTGCCCACCAGGGAAGGACCATCCCGGCTGTCCCACCACACTGGGCTCTGCCGAGCCCCGTTTTCTTCTTCCACCCTTCCCATGGGAGTGGAAAACTTCCTGCCCTCACCGCCGGGATTGCAGGCCCGGGGACACCCAGAGCCGGTGACTGTCACCCACCACGGCCACCTCTGCCAGCCGCTCGTGTTTGAGTGCCAGCTGTTATCGGGGTTCAGTGCACCGGGAGGGCACCCCCGTGCCTTTATCTTATCACTGCCTTTCAGCCCCAGCCAAATTCCACTGGCGGGCGATGACCCCGCCGGGTGCCAGCACGGGGGGCAGGGGCAGGCATGGGGCACAGAGCCCAAACCGTGCCCGGTGCCAGCCGTGCCCTGGGCAGGTGACGGAGGCGAGTGGCCGAACCCGTTCGTCCACCACCACCGGCTTTGTCCCAGGGTGAAGGAGCTAATCCCGGGTTTAATTACCCCTAAATTCAGCGGGAGATAAGCTAATCAGGCTCATTAAGGGGAGGGCCTCGGCTGGTACCGAGATTTGAGCTGTAGCCTGGTTGGGGTGAGCGAGGCCACATGGACAGGGGACCCTGGGTCCCCCAAACCTCCCAATGCTGCACCCCAACATCCTCCTGCCTGTGCTGGGGGGCTGTGACCCACTGGAGGTCACAAACAGCAGGGGACACAGTGACCAGCTCCATCCCAAAGGATGCCACTGGTGGGGACTGGTCTGCTTGGTCCCTTGCTGAGGGAACCCCAAATACCCCAGTCCTGCACCCCAACACCCTCCTGCTTGTGTCACGGGGCTGTGACCCACTGGAGTGTCACTGAGATGGGGACAGTGGGATCTGCTGGTGACTGGCTTCATCCCAGGGATGCCATTGGCAGGGCCTGGTCTGCCTGGTGCCTGCAGGGCCCCCTCTGAGGGGCCCCAGCTTTCCCAACCCCCCAGTCCTGCACCCTGGCACCCTTCTGCCTGTGCCAGGGGGGCTGTGGCCCACTGGGGTGTCACTGGAGCAGGGGTACACACAGTGGCAGCCTCCATCCATCCCAAAGGACACCCCTGGAGGGGACTGCTTCACCCAGTCCCTGTGAGACACCCTGGGAGGAGCAGGGTGGTGACAGCCCACACACCTTATGCAAGGGCTTGGGGACAGCTTGTGCTGGGGGACAGTCCCCTGCCAGGTGACCGCTGATCCTGGGTGCACAGGGGGCACAGGGGAACAGGGTGGCCCTTCTCCCCTGGCAATGTCCCAGTCCTGGTTGGCATGTTTTTGGGGGCATGAGGAAGGGACAAACCTCCAGCCTTGAGGTTTTTGGGGAGGATCGGGGACCCCTTCACCAACTGTCCCTCTGGTCCCCGCAGTTCCGGGAGAAGCTGCAGGACGTGCTGCCCTCCCTGCCCTCCCAGGACGACTATTTCCTCCTGAAATGGCTCCGAGGTAACCCCGAGGTGGGGGCAGCACTGGAGGGGGGAGCCCCAGTGGGGCTGGCGGGGTCTGAGCTCTCTGCTCTCTTGCAGCGCGTTCCTTCGACCTGCCCAAGGCAGAGGCGATGCTCCGCAAGGTGAGAGGGGCACGCTGTTTTTGGGGCACCCTGCTGTGCTGGGACAGACCTGGTGTGGGACCCCACACCCTGAGCCAGCAGCCCCAGCAAGAGGGACCCGCCTGTGGGGTTCACCCTGTCCCAAATCTCACCCTGGCCCGCTCTGCCCCCGCTGCAGCACGTCGAGCTCCGCAAGCACATGGACGCCGACAACATCCTCGCCTGGGAGCCACCTGAGGTGAGTGTCCCTGGGCTCCTGGGGTGGCCCTGGAGGGGACCGGGCCCCTGAGTCCCCTGGGGTGTGTGTGAGGTGCCCTGAGCCCCCGTGCTCCCACAGGTGATTCAGAAGTACATGTCTGGCGGGCTGTGCGGCTACGACCGCGAGGGCAGCCCGGTGCGCTACGAGATCATCGGGCCCCTGGACGGCAAGGGGCTGCTCTTCTCCGCCTCCAAGCAGGACCTGATCAAAAACAAGTTCCGGGACTGTGAACTGCTCCGGCTAGCGTGTGAACAGCAGAGTGAAAAGGTGGGAACCTGCCCACACTCTGCTGGCCCCAACAGCTCCTTGTGGCCATATCTGGCCTGCCCCTACCAGTCATCATCTTCCCCAGCCCTAACAGGTCTCCCAGTCCTCTCCACTTCCCTCTTTCCATGTCCCTGCCAGCCCCATAAGTCCATGTCCATTCCCACAACTCCAATTCCTCCCCAGCCCCCTATGTCTATTTCTGGTCCATCCCTACCAGACAATGTCCTTGACAGCCCTATATATCTTATAGGTCTATGTCCTGTCCATTTCCCTCTGTCTGTGTCCATTCCCACAACTCAAAGTCCTCCCCAGCCCATCTCTGGTCTATTCCTACCAGACAATGTCCTTGACAGCCCTATAAATCTTAGAGGTCCACGTCCTGTCCATCCCAATATGTCCATCTCTGGTCCATCTCTGCCAGCCAATGCCCTCACTCGCCAGCCCTACAGGTCCATGTCCAGTTCATCTCCCTCAGCCCCACAAGTCCATGTCCTGTCCACCCCACCATGGACCATGTCCCCGCCAATCCCATATGTCCATCTCTGGTATCCTCCCACCCCACAACTCTGCATCCTGCCCATCCCCACCAGTCCATGTTCTCGCTGTCCCTCAGCCCAGGTCCCTGTCCCAGCTCCCATGGTGCCCCTTTTCCCCACACCAACACTTAGGAGGAGGCTCTGGCTGGTGTGACCAGCCTGTTGGGGCCGCCCCATCCCTCGACCTCCCTGTGGGTCCTGCCTGATCTCCCCCATCCTCCTGTCCCAGCTGGGCAAGAAGATTGAGATGGTGATGATGGTGTACGACTGTGAGGGCCTGGGCCTGAAGCACCTCTGGAAGCCAGCTGTGGACACATATGGGGAGGTGAGGGCTCCTGCCCACCCCCCTTCCCACTGGACCACAGGCCTGGTCCCTGGATGATGCAGGAGTGGGTCCCTGCAGTGCCCTGCACTCCCCAGTGTTCTGGGTGGGTCCTGCTGGATGCATGGCATGGGTGACCTGAGCTCCCCCATCTGCAGATCCTGTCCATGTTCGAGGAGAATTACCCTGAGTCCCTCAAGCGCCTCTTTATTGTGAAGGGTGAGTTTGGCCCCGGGGTCCTGCTGCCCTTATCCAGGTGCTGATGCCCCCCTGACACCCCCCTCTGCCCCCAGCCCCCAAGCTCTTCCCCGTGGCCTACAACCTGGTCAAGCACTTCCTGAGCGAGGACACGCGCAAGAAGGTCGTGGTGTTGGGATGTGAGTCCTGGCCCTCCCCAGCGTGTCCCAAATGGGGGTGACACGTCCCCACTCTGCTATCACCCCACCCAGGGGGGATACTCCAACTTGCAGCCCCCCAAACCCGCTGTCCTCCCCCCCAGCCAATTGGAAGGAGGTCCTGCAGAAGTACATCGACCCCGCACAGATCCCGGTGGAGTACGGGGGGACGCTGACAGACCCTGATGGGGACCCCAAGTGCTCCAGCAAGGTAGGAGGAGCCCCCGCGGGGTTCTTTAGGGGTGCTGGGCAGTTCCCCCACCCCCACATCCTCCATCCCTTCCAGATAAACTACGGGGGGGATGTGCCCCAGCATTACTACGTGCGGGACCAGCTGGCACAGAAGTACGAGCACTCGGTCGTGGTCAACCGGGGCTCGTCCCATCAGGTCGAGTACGAGATCCTCTTCCCCGGCTGCGTGCTGAGGTGAGGGCAGCTCTGCGCTGTGGGGAGCGGGTGACAGGGTGACAGCCGCCGTGTCCCCAGCCCGCCGCAGCACCGCCCCTGTGCCCTGCAGGTGGCAGTTCCGCTCCGAGGGCGCCGACATCGGCTTCGGGGTGTACCTGAAGACCAAGGTCGGGGAGCGGCAGCGGGCGGGCGACATGACCGAGGTGCTCCCCAACCAGCGCTACAACGCACACATGGTGCCCGAGGACGGCTCCCTCACCTGCTCCACGCCCGGCATTTGTGAGTGCCGAGCCCTCCCCGGGGCGCTGCGGGACCCCCGTGTCCCTGATCCCACCACGTCCCTGACAGCCCCCCCGTGTCCCTGACACCCCTGTCCCTGAACACCCCCGTGTCCCTGATCCCCCCCAGACCCCCCCTGCCGTGTCCCTGACCCCACCGCGTCCCTGACACCCCCGTGTCCCTGACATCCCTGTCCCTGACACCCCCCCCCCGTGTCCCTGACATCCTTGTCCCCCTGCAGATGTCCTGCGCTTCGACAACACCTACAGCTTCCTCCACTCCAAGAAGGTGAGCTACAGCGTGGAGGTGCTGCTGCCCGACACCGCCTCGGCCCAGCAGATCCAGGGGGAGTCCCCCAGCCACAGCCCCTGAGCCCCCCGGGCTGCACCGCGCCCCCAGGACGGCCCCGCGGGAAGATGGAGCCGGGGCTGAGCCCCGGGGCTGCCGGACTGAGGCGAGGCCGAGCGGGGCCGGACGCCCGCAGCCCCCCCAAACTCTGTGCCTTATGTGGGTGCCGCACGCACCGCTGCTGCTGCTGCCTGGGCTGGGGAGTAAAGGGATGGACTGAGCGGGGTCTGCTGCTCCGTTTGTGGCTGCCCCTGCTGCCCGCCGCAACCCTGCAGCCAGCCCAGCTGCCCCAGCCCCACAACTGTCCCCTCAGTCTCACACCTGCTCCCCCAGCCCCCGAACTGCCTCTAGCCTCACAACTGCCCCCAGCCCCTGAACTGCCCCCTCAGTCTCACACCTGCTCCCCCAGCCCCTTAACTGTGCCCCAGGCCCACAATTTCCCACCCAGCCCCAGAACCGCCCCCAGTACCACAACCACCCCAGCTGCCCCCAGCCACACAACTGTGCCCCAGCCCCACAGTTGCCCCTCCAGACCCGTAACTGCCCCCCAGCCCCACAACTGCCCCCAGTTGCCCCCTCAGCCCCAGCCCCGCCCCCTGACCGCCACTGACGTAAGGCCGCGGGGTCACGTGCGCGGTCAGGCCACGCCCCCGCCGCCATCCCGCGGCCCCGAGGGACGGGCTAGACGTCACACACTGGGCGGGGTCATGCAAATCAGGCTGGAATGGGCGTGATTTGGTGACGTAGAGCCGGGGGCGGGGCATGCAGCGGGAGCGGTGGCGCGCGCCATGGGGCAGGAGGAGCCCGACCTGTACCGGGACACGTGGGTCCGATACCTGGGTGAGCACCGGGAACCGGGCACTGAGCGCTGACACCGGGAAACGGGCACCGGCACCGGGCACTGGCTCCGGGAACCGGGCGCTGACACTGAGCACTGACACCAGGAAGTGGGTACCGGCACCGGGCACTGACATTGAGCGCTGACACCGGGAAGCGGGTACCGGCATCGGGCACTGACATTGAGCGCTGACACCGGGAAGCGGGCACTGACATTGAGTACAGAGCACTGACACCGGGTACCGGCGCCGGGAGCCACGGGAGCTCCGGGAACCGGGCACTGACACCGGATACCGGGTACCAGCACCGGGCACTGACACAGGGTACAGGCACGGGGACCTGGGCATTGACATTGGGCACTAACATAAAATACCACTACCGGGACCTGGGCACTGACATCGGGTACCGGCTGCGCAAACGGGGCAGTGATACTGGGTACCGGCCCCATCACAGGGTACTGACACCGGGGACTGGGCACTAACTGACCAAACTCTGGTACCGGGTACCAACGTCAGGCACCACATGAGGAGCCAGGCACTGACAGCCAGCCCTGCTTTAGGAACGTGACAGCAGACACTGCGTCGGGTACCGGGCACCGTGCACTGCACTGCCCTGAGCGCTGGGCACTGCATGTGCTACTGGGCACTGACACCCAGCACTGGTACCAGAGTGCACTGGGCCTGTGGTACTGGGCACCAACACCCAGCACCAGGTACTGCACACTGCACTGGGCACTGATACAGGGTTTGGTGCCAGATATGAGTGCCACACAGCAGGCCCTGGCAGTGTGCACGGGCATGGTACAGCACACAGGGTAACAGCACCAGGTACCTGTCACTGTCACCAGTACCGACACTGGCTAGTGGCATCATCCACCTGCACTGTGCACGGACACTGGACAGCAGGACCAGTTACTGGCTCCTGCCAGGCACTGGCACTAGCGCTGGGCAGTCAGACACCAGCCCTGGCAGTGGGCACCCCCAGCCTAGCTGTCCTGATGACAGTGGGTTCAAGGGGATCCAGGCACCACAAACACCCCCTGTGAGATCCATCCAGTGACACTGGGGACACCCTGCAGAGGTGACAGGGGGACAGCCAGTCCCTGACCCTACCATCCCCTCAGGTTATGCCAACGAGGTGGGCGAGTCCTTCCGCCCACTGGTGCCAGTGCCGGTGGTGTGGGCCAGCTACGGCGTGGCCACCGCCTACGTGACCGCCGATGCCATCGACAAGGGTCGCAAAGCTGCCGCCGTGAGTGCCACCCCCCCTCACCCCCAGTCTCTCCATCCCTGCCCTTCCCCTGAGCCCTGTGTCTCCCCAGGCCCACCCGCAGGACCCCACGCGCGTGGGGGTGGCCGTGGTGGACACCTTCGTGTGGCAGAGCCTGGCCTCGGTGGCCATCCCCGGCTTCACCATCAACCGGCTCTGCGCCGCCTCGCTGGCCCTGCTGGGGGCCCTGACCCGCTGGCCCCTGCCCGTGCGCCGCTGGACCACCACGGCCCTGGGGCTGGCTGCCATCCCCCTCATCATCACCCCCATCGACAGGTAATGAATGGGGACACGCCCGGGGTGGGGGACAGGCGGCTGCCACCACCCCATCCCCACAGCCCGGAGGAATGGAGCATGTTTGTCTGCTTGGGGCTGGGAGTAGAGGGTGGTGGCGGGATGTCTCCACTCCAAAGGGGCTTTGCTGGGGTCCAGCCAGGACATGTCCCTGCCAGGACGGGGATTATCCAGAGCTGAGCCAGGATTAGCACAGTGAGGCTGTGCTAAACCTGGTTTTGGTGGCGCTGGTGTCTCAGGGGATATTAAGGACAGTCCCACCCATCCCACATCACTGCCCCAGAGACGCCCGGGCCCCGCTGACGCCCTCTCCTGCTGCAGGACTGTGGATTTCCTGATGGATTCCAGCCTCCGCAAGCTTTACAGGGCACCAGGAGAGCCCCCGACGTCCCACTGAGCACCACCCCACACACTCTGGGGAAACTGAGGCATGCTGCTGTGACCCACCTACTGTGACCCCTCACTCTGGTGACCCCCAGAGTGGCCACCCTGCCCCACACTGGTCCTAATAAACTATTTCAAACATGACCCCTCTGATGGGTGATGCTGAGGTGCCACCAAGGCCAGGCCCTGTCCTCTCCTGGGGGACAGATGGGTCTGGGTGAGTCTCAATCCCTCAGGGGTCTCCACCTGCTCAGAGCAGCCCTGCTGTCCCCACCCTGGAACCTCCTGCACCTCCACAGCCTCATGGGATATCCTGGGGACTGTCCCCAAGGAGCTGCCACCATGTCCATGGTCTCCAAGGACACGAAATCCACCCAGCCAGGAGCTGCCATCTCCAATACCACAGTACCCGCAGGCTGGGACAGCGCCACAACACCTGGAAGCCACAGGAACCTGGAGATGTGGCTTGCCAGTGCAGGGGCACATCTCCATCCCTTGGTGGCATCCACGCTCTACCAACCAGGAGAAGCTTTAGAGAAAGCAAAACCACATTTATTGGTGAGAAAGAGGCTCTGGCCCCATCTGTTTCTCTGTCTCCCTGAGGAGCAGGGCCCCCACCACGCTCTGCAGCTCAGCCTGGAAGGGACACCTCTGCCTCGGTGGCCGCTGTCCCCTCCGGGCTCTGCCCAGGTGCCCAGTGGTCAGGGCCAGGCCCAGCAGCCCCCCCAGCACGGTGACCACCAGCACAGCACTGCCCACCAGGGCCAGCAGGAGCCTCTTCACCGTCTGGCACGGGGCTAGGAACAGCACAAACACACCTGGGGGTCAGAGGGGGGTTCACCACAAGAGGTGGGGGTTTTGGGGACATGGGAGAGCATTTGGGGTGTACCTTTGTACCATGGCAGCTTCTCCTTCTGCACCAGCACTGGTCCAACAGTCTCCCAGTGGAGTGTCCCCTCTCCTGGGAATGCTGTGAGAGGATATGTCCAATGCAGTCCAGCCCAGGTCCAGGAGCCCTCCCAAGACCTCAAAACAACCTGGGGCCACCCTGTCCCAGCCCTGGTACCTGGCATGTCTCCATGGAGGGTGTCAGCAGCGGGACAACCGGTGTCACAGCAGTGGCATGGGGTACTCTGGACAGGGTCCTCTGCGTTGTGCCAGCTGGGAGAGGAGAGGACAGAACTGGGGGGCAGCTCTAGGGGTCCCCAGACTCCACCACAAGACCCACGTGGTGCTATGCCAGAGGAGATGTCTCCAAGCACCTCCACAACACCTCTGCAGCATGGGGGGAGCTGGGACCTGTGGCAGTGCCATCATCTGCCATCGAATAAGAGGTGACATCCAGACCACAGTGGGGTGACTTGGTCTTCCCAGAGGTGGGTTCTTCCCCCAGCACACCCATGGGGTGCTCGTGTCCCCACACACCCAGCATACCTGGCCGTGGTGTGGCTGTAGAAGCAGGACCTGGTGGCACATCCTTGTCCCCATGCCATCAACAGGCAGTGCACGTAGACCTGCTGGGACACCATGTCCTTCCTCAGGGACCCTGCTCTCCTTCTGCATGACCTTGTGGAGCTGAGGCCACCCCAGCAGGAGCGCTATGTCTCAGGATGGACAATGTTTTGGGACACCCAGGTCATCCCCCTCCCTGGGACCTCCATCCCATCAGCAAGGGCATCATCCCCACCTCACCTGCTCCTCCTCGGGCTCCCCCTCCAGCGTGGGGGCCAGCATGGAGAGCTGGAGGACAGAACCCTCTCTCTGGTGCTGGACAGACACATTCCCCAGCTTCTCCCCGTGCAGGCACCTGTGGCAGGAGAGTGACACAGGACATTCCAGGGCTGTCTCCAGGCTCTGGACATCCCTTTCCATCAGGAGGTCCTGCACTGCAGGACCCCAGGGTGGCTGGAGAAGGAGCCCCTGCTTCCTGCCCCACCAGCACTGACCCACGGCTGTTCACCACCATGAAGACCCTCCTGGAGTGTCCTGGCTGCTCCGTGGTGGTCCAGTAGCACTGATCCACGTGGATCTTCATAGAGGTGCTGGGACTGAAGTGGACACTGGCTTCCAGGTGGATCATAGAGCCAGGGCTGAGCACTGGCAGTTTCTCTGGAGTGGCACTGGAGTCCTCTGAGAAGTGTGGATTCAGTGTGACACCCCCAAACCTGTCCCAGCAGAGATGAGGGCACCAGACACATCCCAGACCACCATCCCTACAGCTTCCCCCTTTCAGAGCCCACCTCCCATCCTGGCTCTGTCCCCCAGGCCTGCTTTCCCTGCTCTCCAGAGCTTCCTGGACTCCCCATGGAGCTGAGAGGGACCATGTCACCCATCAGGGCAGAGCTGACCCCCAAATCCCATTGTGGTATCAGGCACAGGACTGAGAACATCTCAAAGCCCTACACCTTCCACAAGGACAGGGGGGGAGCTCCTGCAGGGACAGCCACCTTTCCTGGTGGTCCAAGTCCTGGGGACAGCCAGGAGAAGGCACTGACTGCTGCTGGTTGAGCCCTGGGTCTTGGCTGGACCCATCCCATGGTCTCTGTTTTCCTGCCTCATCCCCAGAGCACTCACCATCCAGGAGCCTCAAGGTGAAGTTCATGATGGGCTCCTCAGAGTGGGAGTGAGCAGGAACCCTCCCAGTTCCCACGCCTGAGGGCATCACTGGAGCTGTCACCGTGTGACCAGGGGGCTCTGAGGCAGCTGGAGCCATGGTGGTCCCTGCAAGGGAAGGGCTGAGCCAGCAGTAGCATGTCCCAGACACAGCAGGGACATCCAGGTCCTCAGGTGTCCCCAGGACTTGTTGGGGACAGCAGCACAAAGGCAGGGAGAGCACCCAGGAGCACATCAGGGGCTCCTCTGTCCCCAGCCCCACCTGCACTACAGGAATACACCAGGAGCATTCCCAGCACTGTGACCCTGCCCAGGGCTGGGGACAGACCAGGAGCTGCTCATGGGGTGGGACACCACTGCCAGCAGCCACACACTCCACCAGGGCCTGTGATCCCCCTCAACCCAACCAGGACCCAAGCCCTGCTGGGACCAGCCCCCAGGCGACCATCAGGAACCAGCACTGGGCAAAGCAAGGGGCACCCACCACCCACAGGACAACCAGTGGGAGGAATGAAGGGGGGGGTTCCAGCCCCACTCACCTGCCACCTCCAGCACAGCCCCACACAGCAGCACCAACAAGCACAGCTCCATCCCCAGTGAGCAGCATCCCCACCCCACCAGCTGGGGGTCTTTATGGGCTTGGGGCTGGGAGTCAATGGGTCCCAGCTGGCACTGATGGGGTTGGGGGCTTTGCTTGGTCTCTGCAGCCATTGTCAGCCCCACACCTGGGGGTGGTCCCCCGTCTCACAGCTTCCCTGCCCCACCATAAGAGCCTGTGCCCATCTTCCAGTCCCCATTCCATCCCACAGCCCCAGTGCCACCACTCAGACCAGTCCTGCAGGTGGTCCTGAGCATGATCCCATACCCACCAGTTAGTCCTGGTCCCATATGTACCAATCAGTCCTGTCCCCAGCTGTGATGCTGGGCCTCCCATGCCATTGTTGTGGTCCTGGTCCTCAGGAAGGTGCAGATCCCACCACAAGGTCCCATCCTCACCAGTCAGTCCTGCTCCTGTGCATGGTGCTGCTCCCACCATGTCCTTTTACTCCTGCACATGGTCCTGATCCAAGCAGATCCCAGTTCACCACATGGCCTGGTCCCATCACTCAGCCTTGGTCCCTTGGATGTCCCTGGTCCCATCTCAAGGTTCTTAAGTCCACCCTAGTTTTGACTCCACCATTGGCAGGATCTCATGGCTGATCCTGGTCCCACCAGAGAGTCCCAGTCCCCAGAACCCTTCCTTGTCTCATCATAGCTCTGCTTCCAGTTCTGCTGGAGGGGAACACCACATGGGAGCAGCAGCTTGGTCACAGCCAGAGCAGAGACCTGGTGAAGTGCTCGTGTCCCTGGGTCCTGCCTGCCTCAGGTGTCCCCATCACAGCCCCAACACCCCCCTACAGGTCTCCTCTGAGTGGGCTGACCTGGTGGCCTGGCTGCAGAGGGAGCGTGGAGAAGTCCCAATGCAAGTCCCATGGCCACCCCTGAAATGGGGTGCTCCCCACCAGCAGCAGAGCTGGAACATGGTGGCACCAGTGGTTTGTGTCACCAGTGATGGCTGGTCCCATGGCTCTGCTGTCCCTGTGAAGCCAGCAGACCTTCCTGAGGGCACCTGCACACCATGGGGGTGTCCCTCAGCACCCAGCAGGGACATTGGGGACAGACCCAGGCACCCCACTCGCACTGAGGGTCTCATTCCTCAGCACTGCCTGGAGGACATGGGGCCCCACACCCCCAGCACTGAAGGGGACAGTGGTGCAGGACCCTGGGGAGCTCCCAGAAGGAGCAGGGACTGGCTGAGCCTGCTGCTGTGGCTGTGAGAACATCCTCACCTCATCCATCCCATCCCAGAGGAGGAGATGGCTGGAGACCAGCTGGACCATCCTTATATCCAAAACCAAATATACAATTATATTACAAAAGTAAATTGTTTTTTTTATTTCTGGTCTTTACAGAAGGAGCTGAACACAAGGTGGGGGACAAGGGGGGTCCCTTTGCTGGGGGGGTGGCTCAGCCACAGGTGCCACCTCTGTGCCCAGCCAGGGCTACTCTCAGTGGGACGTGGCATCACCAGTGTCATCCAGCCCAGCTAGGACGCACGAGGTTTGTCCCCAAGGCAGGGTGGGCACTGGGGATGGCCCCTGCCCCCAGCATCCCCACCATGCCCTGGATGGCATCACGGGGACAGTCCCACTGCACCCGCTCCCATTTCCTCCCCACACCAGTTGTCACCAGACCCGGGTGGCCTTTTGGGATGTCCCCTGTGGGGACCAGGGCCACGGGCTCCTCTAACTGGGACGATGGGGGGCAGTGAGGGTGTGCCCTTTGCCACGGGGACTTGTTGATAAAGGCCGGGGCTTTTGGGATGGGTTTTCCAATCTCCAAATGGCTCCGGGTGCCTCTAGGTCACAGCCTAGCTGTTGGTGGGCTGAGAACATGCTGCACTCATTGCACCCAAGGGCTGAAGCAGTGCAGCAGGTTCTGACATTCCCACACCCCAAAACCAGGGCTCAGTGGGGTGATTTGAGGAGCTCCTGGAGGGCTGGGTTCCCTGTGGGCATCTCTGCCCACCCCGGGCAAGGGAGACCCTCTACCACTGCTGTCCCAGCACATCCCTGCCTGCACCCAGCAACCTGGTGATGAATGTCCTGCTCCTGCTGTGACGAGGCCACATCCTTCATAAATCCCTCCTCCAGCTTTTCCACGGGGAAGGAAGAAGTGGATCCTGCAGGAAAACACCACCCCTGGGCCCCCAGTCCTTGACCCTGCTGACAGAGGCAGAGTCTCCGCTCTCCTGCCCAAGCTGGGGCTCTGCAGGAAGGTGATGGAAGGTCCCCCCAAAAGTTCCTGGGCTCCAGAGCCTCCAGCCAGTTCCAAACCAATAGAACCATGAGTAACAAAAACAAAAGCACCTGGTTCTTCCCCAGGGAAGCGGGGCACCTGCCAGCCCCTACCACTTGAGGAAGTCCCGCACGTGGCTCCATAGCTTGGTGATCCAGAGGTTGGCCCCCAGGTCAGTCAGGTACTGGATTTCAGGCGTCAATGCGGCACAGCTTCTGGTGCTTCTTGCTGATCTTCTTCTTCAAGTTGTACCCCAGGATGGTCTTCTCCCCCAGGGGCTGCCAGGGCTGCATGGAGGACTCCTGGATGGCGCTGGCATCCACGGCGTGTCCCCCATCGATGCAGATGCTGGTCATCTTCTTGTTCTCCCTCTGCAGCTCGGCCACGTCCCTGGCCATCCTCTCCCTCCCGTAGGCCTCCACCTTGCGCCAAAAGGTGGCATTGAAGTAGCGGTAGAGCTTGGCGTCGATCAGGTTCCAGGCGGTTGCCTGCTCGTACAGCTCAGGGGTCAGCCGGGACACAGTGGAGCCCTTGCGGGCGTTGAGCTTGAAGTAGAGGACGTCCTCCAGCTGCCAACACAGCAGGTCCTTGAGCAGCACCAGCGACTCATCAAAGTACTCGAGCAACATGACGAGGTGGAAGCGGCGGTCGATCTCCCGGATGTGCTCCTCCACCAGCGGGCTGTTGGCGTCCATGCTGCTGTCGTAGCCGAAGTCGAAGAACAGGAGGTTTTGGAGGTAGTGAGCGTTGAACCCGTTGGGGTCGTAGTAGTGCTGGGGGTCCCGGAGGAACTCGTCCAGCTTGTCCTCCCCTGTGATCTTCCAGGTGAGGGGGATGACGGGCCCGAAGTAGTGGAAGGAGGACTCGAAGAGGTACGCGGGGTCCCGCAGCACAGTCACGAAGGTGGCGTCGGGCGGCAGGAGCTTGCGCACCTCCTCGTAGTGGAAGCGCATGTGGTTGCAGATGATGTTGAAGCACACCCCGGGCCGGTAGTGCTGCACCTGGCTGCGCTCGAAGAAGGACGGGTAGTAGAAGTCGTTACGGCCATTGGGGAAGGCGAATTTCAGGCGGTGTTTCTCCCCGAAACGGAAGAGGATGTTGAGGATGGTGCTGCTGGCGGTCTTGTGGGTCTTCATGAACATGACATTGAGCTTGGGCCGGCAGCTCCACCCCGAGGCGCTGCCCGAGCTGTTGGACAGGGACGGAGCCTGGGACAGGTGGGAGGAGCAGGAGAAGGGCACGGGGATCCTGGGTGAGAGAAGAGGTGGAGCACCATGGTGAGGGGCACTGGCACTTAGAAGGCTTTGGGATATTCTGTGCTGGTGGAGCTGGATCTGGGGATGGGTTCTGGACCTGGAAATAGGTGCTGGACCTTGGGAATATATGCTGAACCTGGGAATGGGTGTTGGACCTGGGGACAGGTGCTGGACCTGGGAAGGGGTTCTAGAAATGGAAATAGAGCAGGGGGTCTCCATGGGCATGGCCATGGTGGTCCTGGAGGAGATGATGCCAAAAAGTGCATCAAGAGGAGCTCTCCATGGCCACAACTCCATGGAGAGGAGCTGATAACATTTGTATGGGGATATGAGACCTCTCAGCCCTTTGTAGGATCCATGGGGGAGGCCTGGGAGCTCTCAATCCCTTGTAGGATCCATGGAGGAGGCCAGGGACCTCTCAACCTTACAGGAGTCATGAACTCCTCCATGGAGGAGGTCTGGGAGCTCTCAACCCTTTACAGGAGCCACAAACCCCTCAAGGGATCTGTGGAGGTCTGGGACCTCTCAACACCTTGTGGGATCCAAGAAAGATCCAGCCCCCTGCAAAAAGGGAAATAATTCCAGAGCCTGGCCCCACAGATGAGTTCATGGGCCCTGGTGGAACATGTGAGGACACAAGGGACATTATCTGAGCTGCCTGAGGCAGTGAGCAGAGCCCACAGAGGTGAGTGACTTTGGATACCTGTAATCAACTAGCCAAACTGATCCTTAATGAGGATCCCCACCCAACAGCACCAGGTTTGTGAGGCACGTGAACCTTATTTACAAGCTTGGAGATTATTTTAATGACAGGCAGCACAGCCAGGAGCTGAGTGCTGTGGAGCAGTGAAAGAATCTGAGACTTGAGTCCTCTCCTCTCCTCTCCTCTCCTCTCCTCTCCTCTCCTCTCCTCTCCTCTCCCTCTTCTCTCCTCTCCTCTCCTCTCCTCTCCTCTCCTCTCCTCTCCTCTCCTCTCCTCTCCTCTCCTCTCCTCTCCTCTCCTCTCCTCTCCTCTCCTCTCCTCTCCTCTCCTCTCCTCTCCTCTCCTCTCCTCTCCTCTCCTCTCCTCTCCTCTCCTCTCCTCTCCTCTCCTCTCCTCTCCTCTCCTCTCCTCTCCTCTCCTCTCCTCTCCTCTCCTCTCCTCTCCTCTCCTCTCCTCTCCTCTCCTCTCCTCTCCTCTCCTCTCCTCTCCTCTCCTCTCCTCTCCTCTCCCTTTCCCTCCCCTTTCCACCCAGGAGCACTGAGTGCCCCACGGTGTCCCCAGCCCTGCCAGGAGTTAGAAACTGCAGGAAGGGGACATCTTGGTGTGAAGCCACCAGGGCCTGGAAAGCCCCAGGGCCATCTCCATGTCCCCCACCTCCAGCTGGGGGTTCCTGGTGTGGAACAGGGAGCCCGAGCTGCAGGGGGGCACGCGGGGACCCCAGACTCACTCAGTGACGCTGACTTGAAGCGGAGGGACAGCGTAGGAGTAGAGCAGCAACATGAAGCTGGTCAGGAGGGTCCCCAGGACCAGCCCCTTGCACATGGACCTCCAGGGCTTCCCATGCCACAGCATCCTGGTCACCTGCAGCCAGAGAGGAGAGACGTTGGTGCCAGGGACACAGGGACTGAGAGTGTGTGGCTTCAGCGAGGCATGTGGACATGTCACAGGCACAGCAATTCCCAGGAAAGCATCCCGCTGGTGCCTGGCATGATCCACAGCACATCTGTGGCACAGGCCCAGCGGCTCTGCCTGCCCAGCCAACCTTTGCCCGCCCTGGGAAAACCCAGTGACTCCCAGTGGGAGAGGCTGCAGGGCTGGGATTGGGGGAAAGGGGAGCCATGGACAGCCCAGGGGCAGAGTGGGCAACTGAGGGGCAGAGTGGCCATTCTGCACTGGGACACCACCAGCACCAGCAGGCACTCCCTGAGGGTGCTGGGATCCATTTTCCCAGGAAAATCTGCAGCAGCTCGGGATGGTTTGGGTGCTGCAATACCCTCCCAGTGCGGCCTCTCCGGCCCCACCAGCAGCACTGGGGGACTCGGGGGCCCCTCTGGCCATGGCAGATTGGGCTGGCCCAGGTGGGGGCCAGGAACACGGAACTGGGGACAGAGGGGTGCAGGCAGGATGGCATCCCCAAACACACAAAACACACACACATGCACACAGAGGGCACACACAGACACTCCCGTCCCCTCGTGTGCTCATGTGTGCACCAGGACACACAGTACTCAATGCGTGTTCATACACACACAGGGCACACACAAAACATGCACACACATCAGTCTTGTTCACACACACACGCGCGTGTGCACACAGACACACAGACACACAGACACACACACAGACACACGCTCACAGAGCCCCTGTGCCCGCTGCCCCCTCCCCAGCGCTCCCCCCGTGTCTCCCATCCCTGTCCCCTCCCTCCTCCCGGGACACGGGGGTCACCCTCACTGTGACACCGCATTGCAGCAGCGCCGTCCCCTGCGGCAGGACGCGGGGACACAGGGACACAGGGACACGGCACCCGTGACCGCAGCCCTCCACAGCAGAGCTCCGCGCCCGGGAGCCCCCTCGAGCTGGGGGCTGAGCCCCCCCGGCCCTGCACCCCCATTAGCGGCAGGAGCAGCATCACCTGCCTGCCCCAGCTCCCGCTGCTCCCGCTGCTCCACATCCTCCGGAGCCCCTCGGCCAAAGCTGGCTGCGCTCCCACTGCGTAACACCCCCAAAAATAATCCCCCGGCCCCCCACCCCCGCCTCGCATCACCCCCTCACCCCTCAGAGCTCCCGCGGATATCCCGGCGGGATGAAACCCCGCTGCCATGAGCCGTGGATCGCAGCCCGGCGCATCCCAGCCCCAGCCCCGAGGCAGAGCCCCCCCGTTCCCGGCTCACCCCCAGCACCGCGGTCACCGCCGCCCGGCGATCCCGGGGTGCCGCCGCTGCCGCCGCTCCCCCGCTCCGGCCCCCCCGGCTCGGATCGCCTCGCGCCGCCGAGATTTCCAGCTCGATGAATAATGAATGGAAAATGCAACCGGAGCCCCGGGCTGCGGCCGGGTGCTGGGCACAGCGCCGCGGGCAGGGGGGGAGCTGCCAGAGGGGCACCCGAAAAGCTCATCCAAGTCCCCCCCACTTCCCCTGGAGCCGGGACCACTGGATCAGGCAGGGCTGGTGCATCCAGCCTCTTCCCGAATGGTTTTCATGTGCGAGTGGGGGTGCTCGGTGTCACCACGGGGGGAACAGGTGGCTCTGACAGTATCCCAAAGCCACCGTGTGGGTGGGAATGCCAGACGGCTCCAGGAGCAGCTGGAGTTCGGCTTTACACGGTGGCTGTGATTCCATCACAGTCACCGCCTGGTACCACCTGGAAAAGCCACTGGCCCTTTGAGAGGGCTGGGGAGACACCCACTTTTGTGGGTGCTGCCAAGAGGGAGCAAAGCTGGCACCAGCTGGCTGGCACCAGCTTTGCTGGCACCAGCTCCACAGGAGAGAGTGAAATGGCACCATAAACCCCTCTGACGAGTCCCAATGGATCCCAGTGAGTCCAGATGGGTCCCAATGGATCCTGATAGATCCCTGTGGGACCCCAGCAGGCCCCCAGGACCACATGGCACCGAATTCCAGAGCTGTGGGATGCCAAGGGGATGCCTCGCTCCAGTCTGCCTGCCTCCCAGGGGTGGTTCTGGCAAACACTCCTCAGCCAAATATTCTATTGACTTTGCCTTCAGTGAGCAGCTTAATTATTAATAGCTCGTTAGGAGAGAGTGGTGCACTGGGTGTTCTCCTGAGGCTCCCACGGGTGGGGTGTGCCCGTGGCGCCAGCCGGCTGAGATGCCCAGCTGGAGAGCACGGCTGCACCCACCATTTCCTCAAGAGGTACCCCTGGGTCAGGCCAGGCCACCCAGCTCTGCAGCCCCCTCTCCGTGTTCCAGCAGCTCCCCATCTCCCTGGGGGCACCCCAGAGTCTGCTTTTGGGCTTTCCCTACAGCATCAGTTTTTTTAGGGCCAAGCCCCTGCCATACACAAGGCGCATGCACCTGCTTGCTCCTGATCCCACAAATCCATGGACACACTGTTTTGCACAGGCCCTGTCCCACATGGGCATGCTGCTTCCTACCCTCCTGTCCCCTCTGTGCCCCACGGGTACACAATTCCCCCCATCATCCTGCCCCATAGAGCTGCTTCCTGAGCATCCCACGGCCCCCCAGCACCCCAACATCCACCAGGCATCCCAACACCCCCTCAAGCATCACACTACCACCTTATCATCCTGTGGCCCCCCCAGCATCCCACTGCCTCCCAAGCGACCCAACAAGCATCCTGCTGCCCCCTTCCCATCCTGCCACCCTCCAAGCACCCCCGCACCCCCCAGTATCCATCACCTTTTCCTCTCCCGCACCGCAGGCGCTGGGCCGTGCCTCTGCTCTCCTGTGCTGACCGGGGTGCCGGGGGAGCGGGCGGCACGGGGCGGGGGTGCCGATGCTGCTCCGACATGGAATAAGCTCTTCCCGGGCAGCTCCCCGCAAATGCCAGCTTTTCCAAAGCCTCCCCACTGCACCGCGGCGTTTATGGCATCACCGGGATCGCGGCCCTGGGTCGCCGGCCTGGCAAGGGGGAAGGGGACAGGAGTGGGAGCGGCTGGCGGGGGGACGCGGGGCTGCGGCCGGGCACTGCCCGGCTCCCCGGGGCCGGCCCTGGGTGCCTGCGGCCACCCCAAGGCACCCGGCCCCCACCCACTGCCGGGGCACAGAGGAGCCATTCAGCCCGTGCCGCGAACAACGGGGACATTTGTCTCCATCTGTGACCGCGGCCTCAACGGAGACATTGTCCCCGCGGGCCCCACTGCCGGCCCCTCGGCTCCCTGCCACCAGCCCTGCGTGGCCCCACAGCCCTGGGTGACCATGGCTGGCCCTGGGCGGCCGCACCCACCTCTCGCCAGCCACCGTCCTCCTCCTCCTCCTCCCTGTCCCACAGGACGGCTCCTGGCCTGGCCGCCACCTCCCGCAGCCGGAGCTCACCGGGGTTTGGGGAGCTCCTGCACCCCGGCCCAGCCGCCTGCTCCCCGGGGCACCCTGGCCACGCACCATCGGCTCCTCTTCATCTCCCGCAGCTTCCCCGCCCTCTTTCCTCCCTCCCACTATGTTTCCATGGATTTATGGCCTTAGTGACAGCAATATTCCAGCATCTCCAACCTTGGTGTGACAACTGTGGAACAACCAGCCAGGAAAGGCCACCAGCCTTTCCATGCTCCTCTTGTCACAGCAGCTGACTGGGTGCCGAGAGGTGGCCACAACAGGAGGGCTCAGCCCTGTCGCTGCTCCATCACCCTGCATGTGGCAGGGTGAAAAAGGGGCTCTTGTGCTCCTGGATGCAGCCCTGGCTCTTCCTGCTGCCTTAGTCTCTGTCACTAAAGGGGGTGGTGTCAGCATTGGGGCCTCAAGCAAGGGGTGATCCCCTTGGCCATGCCTGGGACTCACCATCCCTGTTGGAGGTCTTTGGGGTTCAGAGCTTGTCCCTAAAGGATTTGTGGACATCACCTTGCAGTGAGCTGGCAGCTCTTGCCTCATCCCTGGCAGCTGCCCTATCCTGCCTGGCCTCATCAGTTCCCACACCAGGGGTAAACTGCACAACCCTCCGGGATCAGGAAAAGCCAAAACACCTCAGTTTTCATCATCATCATAATTGCAAGAGGAGGGATGAAGACCAGTGATCACAGTCACAGGATTTGCTGTGAAACTGGTGGTGTGGGAGCAACGAGCTGTCCCAGCCTTCCTTTGCAAGGCACCTCTCCCAATTCCAGGTTTCTCCCTCTTTTTTGGGATGGGTCACAAAAGGATACCAGGTTTCCCCCTTAAAGTATTTCCAGGTTTCCCATTTTCTGGGGAATGGGTTGTAAAGGGTTGGCAGCCAGAAGAGAGCTGCAGCGGCCGGTATGTGGCAGCTCAGCCATGGAATGCTGACAGCCTGGGGATGGATGTGAGCAAGGGGGAAGCTGCAACCCCCAATCTCCACATCCACCATGTCCCACAGGGGGGTGACCAGGAGGGCTCCACCACCTCACACCCACCCCTGTCCCTGTCCCCCCCTGGATTTGGGGGTACAAAGCAGCACTCACAGAAAGCCGTGATGGCCAGAGCCGTGGATCCTGAGGGAGCCGTGGATCCTGAGGGACTGGGTGAGGAGGCTGAGGGTGACAATGCTGAGGGGTCACACTTGGCTGGACACAGCCTTTATGGGCAGGGGAGGCCCCGGGTGGCCGGACCGGTCTGTGCCCACCCGCACCGGCCCTGCCCGGCCGGCCCAGGCCCTCAGCCTGGCCTGGGAGCAAGGCCTGGGCCCGGGGATTGCTTGTTTGGGGTCAGGGTTTTGGGAGCTGAGGTTTGTTTGGAACTGGGGTTGGTTTGTTTGGAACTGAGGTTGGTTTGTTTGGGGTCGGGGTTGGTTTGTTTAGGGCTGGGGTTTGTTTGTTTGGGCCAGGAGCTCCCGGGGTTTGAGGCCCCGTTTGGGGTCTCCTGCTCTGAGGGGAGTGCCGGCCCTGGGGGTGCCGCAGGGGTCGATCCTGCTCCTCCTGGGAGAGGGGAAAGCAAGGAGAAAACCAGGAAAACAAAGGAAAAAGCCTCCCAACCCTCTCAAATGGAAAAAAAATATATTAAGAAAAAAAAGGGGGAAGGAGGTAAAAAAAAGGGGGAGGGGAAACAAAGCAGTGGAACAAGTAAAGGGGAAAAATAAAAAAATAAAAAGGAATAAAAATAAAAGGAAAAAGAAAAAAATGAAAAAGAAAAAAATGGAAAACAAAGGGAGAGAATGGAAACAGTAAAAAGAAAAAAACACTTAAATAAAATCGAAAATTTAAAAAAAAAAGAAAAAAAAGGAAAAAATATTTAAGAAAAGAAACTATAAAGTCTGGATATTCCCAGCTGTTCTGTCTGAGCTCACTCCCTTCCAGGGGGTGTCTCTCTCCAGATCCTCTCTGTGTTCCCACAGCAGTGCCAGGGGTGTCCTCCAAAAATTCTTCAGAGTGAGACAGAGCATTCACCACATTTGGGGACAAAGGTGGGCCCCATAAACCCCATGAGACATCTTGTCCCCAGCTGTGGTGTCTCCAAGGTGTTTTTGGGGGAAAACCCAGGACTGACAGATAACTGCTGGTGCCAGGAACACATCCAGCAGGATCAGCAACCCTGGCACCAGCCATGGATCTCCACATCAGCCCCTGAGTGGCCTCCCCCACACCCAGGCAGAAGGAGCAAACAAACACCACCAGAAAAGCATCACCTTCTTTAATTAAAAATAAAAATACAGAGGAATATATTTTTCTGTGTGGACACTGGGAAGCAGTGGGCTCTGGGCTCCACACTCCTCTGCCCTGGGGAGCTCTGGGGGCCAGGCTCCAGCAGCCAGGGCTGTGCAAATTCACACGGAACAATCCCAGAGCTCTCCTTGGCCTCCTCTTCCTCACGCAGAGGTGGCACCAGCAGGGAGAGGACAGTCCTTGTAACACCGACTCCGCAGAGGGGAGCGGGGCAAAGGCAGAGCAGCAGGTGGATTTACAGATGGGAAACGTTTCAAACACAGCATTTCTGCCCCAGGAGCAAAGGCAAGGGTTTTCCACCCAAAGGCAACAGTGGAAAACCATCCAGGAGCCCCCGGCCCCGTCACGCTTGTCGTGCCTTCTTGTTCTTCTTCTTCTGCTCCTTGAGGGCTGCATCGTGGGCTTTCCTCTTCTCAGCCAGTTTGTTGGCCTGGGGAGAGACCCCCAAGACCCTCAGTCAGAGCAGGACCGGGGCTGCAAGCCCTCAGACCCACCCAAGCTCCAGCTGCACGTGGAGGATGGGCCCCACGGCACCGGGATCAGGGCTGGGATATAGAGAGGGGACACAGGGAGCTCTGCCCACCTGGGCAGCCTGGGGACACTGGCAGGGACCTCAACACCTTCACCAGGGACAGGGAGGAGCGGAAGGAATGAGTGGGTTTGGGAAGAGCCCGCCCCAGGATGCAGGTGAGGGCCCAGCCTCCGTACCTCGCGGATTTTGCGCTTCTTCCCGAACATGATCTTCTTGTAGAGGTACTTCTCCCTCTTCTTCATCATCATGATGGCCAAGCGCTTCTCCTCGTTCTGCTGCTCCTGCTCCAGGCGCTGCTTGTCCTCCAGCCGCACCTTCCCCGCTGTCACCTTCACAGGGAGCACCTGTGGGGAGCCAGGGAGCTCAGGATACCGGGAACCCCCTCCTTCCACAGGGACAGGCATTTCCAGCCCTTCCACTGCGGGCCAGGGAGAGCCACAGCGCTCACAGCCAGGCCCTGACAGGGCTGGCAGCTGCAGCTTGTGAGTGTGGGGCCAGGAGCACCCCTGGGAGTGTTCCAGACTGGGCTGGACGGGGCTTGGAGCAACCTGGGACAGCGGGAGGTGCCCCTGCCCACGGCAGAGGCTGGAACAAGATGAGCTTTAAGGCCCCTCCCAACCCAAACCATTCCATGACTGAGTATCCCAGTGGTCCCAGGACAGGGACACCCCTCAGCAGGGACAGTGACACCGGGGCTGCCTCCATGGGCTCCCACCTTGTTGCTCTGTGTGCTCTGAGTCTTCTGCTCTTCCATCTTCTGCTCTTCCATCTTCTGTAATTTCATCTCCTCTTCTTTCTCAGACTCATCTTCCTCTTCCTCCTCTTCTTTGTCATTGTCACCTTCCCCTTCCTCCTCTTCCTCCTCCTCCTCCTCTTCACTCTCTTCCTCTACAAAGAGACACCATCATTACCCTTGGGATGCTCCAGAGCAGGCACAGCCCAGCTCCCAAACTCCTCTGGGGACTTCCAGCACCTGGATTCTCTCCCCTCTGCAGGGCTAGCAGCTTCAGCTTCTCGGGAGGGACGTAGTCACCCTCCTTCTCCGTCACGAAGGGCGAGAGGTGCGGGGGCAGCAGGACCCCGGGGAAATAATCGGCCACAGGCAGGCACAGCTTGGCGTTTACCGAGTCAAAAACCCACTGGGGCTGCAGGTAGTACCTGGGTAGGGCAGAGGGGTTCCACCTGAGGCTCTGGAGCCTGTGGGACAGCTCTGGGATGGCTGCTCTGGGCAGGGCCCCCCTGCCCCACTCACCTGCCAACCACCTGCTTGTCCAGGCGGGGCCGGTCGATGATGTGGTGGGTGATGGACGGGTCGGTGGCGTCGTAGGTGGCACCGATGCACAAGGACTTGTCCCAGGACACCTGGCCGCCAAAGCACCTGTGGGCAATGCCACCGAGGAGTCAGACAGGCGGGTGGGACCCTCAGGGTCACCTCACCCACAGGACATCGAGTGGCTGGCCCCAAGAGTCCTGCCACAGGGGGAGGCCAGGGCTGCCCAGCACGCACCGGATGACGAAGGCCAGCGGCTCCCGGGGCACCTCCCTGTTGAGGAAGAAGCGCAGCCCCTCAAAGAGCTTCTTGTGCTTCTCCAGAGACTCCTGCTCCTTCTTCTTGGCGTCCATCAGCTCTGCTGTCTCCTGCTCAGAGCAAAGCCTTCAGCCTCCTCCCCACACACAGCCCTTGCCAAGGCCCCCTTGGCCAAGAGGGGTCTCAGGAGCTGTCCCCGAGCTGCCAGCCTGGGCACAGCACAGGATCCCCCAAGACCAGGGATGAGCCCCCCACCAGGGTCTTACCCCCTCCACTGGGAATTCATCCATCTCCACCTCATCCTCGTGGGTTGGAGCCACTGCCCGGGCCAGGCTGGCGCTCAGAGCCGAGAGCCTCTGCAGGGAGAGGACACAGAGTCACCTCCAGGGGGTGGGAACAGGGGCAGCCCCACGGGGGAAGGGGATTTCTCAGAGCAAGAGGCTGGAAGATCCAGGGCCTGGACAGAATTCAGCCTCCTCCAGGCACCATCCCCAGCATGGGACTCTGGGGGGTCCCTGCCCAAAGCCGAGACCAGCTCTGCCCTACAGGAACAGGGAGTTTGGGATCAGCCCCCTCCACCCTGCGGGGATCTGGCTCTGTCCTTCGGTGCCACGCCAGGAGGGCTGTGGGCAGGACATGAAGGCCACACAGTGTCCCCACAGGTCACAGTGCCAGCAGTGTCCCTCACCTCCAGGTGGCTCTCTGAATCCATGGCGTACTCCTTGCCCTCTGCAGGCTTCAGCTCATCCTCAACCTGGCTGTCGATCTGGGGAGGAAAACGGGTGAGGAGGCAGCTCCCAAACACAGATAACCGAAAAAATCTCATTTCCACCCTCCCTCCCCACCAATCCAGTTGCCACCACCCCAGGGTGGGACACAGTGACCCCAGGGTGGCCTCACCTTGGGGGGGTACAGCAGGTTCAGGGACTGGTAGAGGCGGAAGTTGACGAAGCCCAGGAGGGTGGTGTAGAACTCGGTGAAGGTGGCCATGACCCGGTAATCCACGTCTGTGGGGTGCTGCCAGACACAGGATGGGACACAGGGATAAAGGACCCCCCTACACAGGGGCCCATCCCACACACAGTGTCAAGGATCACACAATATCCCCATTTAGGAAGGGACTCACAGGGATCATCCAGGTCCTGTCCCAGACCCCCAACAATCCCACCCTGTCCATCCCTGGCAGTGCTGCCCAAAGGCTCCTGGAGCTCTGGCAGCCTCAGGGCCGTGCCCATTCCCTGGGGAGCCTGGGCAGTGCCAGCACCCTCTGGAGGAAGAGCTTTTCCTTGAAAACCAACCTAAACATGCCCCAAATGCAGAGATGACACAGCCACCACCAGACCCTGCCAGGGAGAACTCTGCAGGCTTCCCCCAGGGCCCTGCTGCCACCCCTCCATGCCTAGATACATGGAACACTTTATCCCACCATGGATAGGGACCTTGGGGTTTGGTCCAGGCACTCCAACTCTTCAAGGTGAAGAGTGCAGGGTATGGCAAGAGGCAATGGCTTCCCACTGCCAGAGGGCAGGGATGGATGGGATAATGGGAAGGAACTGTTCCTGGCAGGGTGGGCAGGCCCTGGCACAGGGTGCCCAGAGCAGCTGGGGCTGCCCCTGGATCCCTGGCAGTGCCCAAGGCCAGGCTGAATGGGGCTTGGAGCATCATGGGATAGTGGAAGGTGTCCTTGCCCATGGCAGGGGTGGAATGGGATGGGCTTTAAGGTTCTTTTCAACTGAAAACATTCCAGGGTTCTATGATTCAGAACCATAAAACCACAAAACCTAAACCAAACTGTGCTCAGCCCTGGAAATCCGGAGTGGGAATGGAGAGGGCCCTGCTGTGCCTGTGAGCTCCTGCCAAGGCTCAGGGGAAGCTGTCCCAGCACAGCAGGGACATCCCCATGCCCTGCTGCCTGGGGGACACAGCACAAGCCCTTTGAGGAGGCTGCAGGGATGATCTGACTCATCACTTCCCTTGCTCCACCAGCCTTGTTCCCACAGGTTAATCTTTAATGGCTGATAAAGGAGCACATTAATGATTGGGGACACATGAATGACTGGGGAGACTGGCACCGGCAGCCCCAGGGATCCCGGGGTGACAGGTGGCTGTGTCCCCACGTGCCTCTGCAGCGAGGCCCCATGGTCTGTGTCCCATGTGCCACGGGACAGTCCCTCTCCCCTTGGTGATCCCCAAGGACCCAGGGTGATCCCCCAGGCTCTCCCCAGGTACTCACGTCGTGGGCGAAGGCATAGGGGGTGATCCAGGTGATGGGCTGCCCCAGCACCTCTGCCTGGTAGTAAATGCCCTTGATGGAGAGGAACACCTGGCAGGACAGAGCACAGGCTCAGTGGGAGGAATGCTGCTGTGTCCCTGTCATCCTGACCCTGGCAGGAGGTTCTTCAGATCCCAGTGGGATGTGTGACCCGATAATCCAGTGGGATCCCTGCCCCGACACCCCAGTGGGATCCTGTCACAGACATGTTTTATGAAAAATCCTTTCCTTAGGATTTTTTCTCCTGAGAAGCTGAGAGGCCTCAGGAACAAAATGTAACCAATGGTTATCTGCTGCTGTGGAATGCAACAGGTGCATCTGTGATTGGTCTCATGTGGTTGTCTCTAATTAATGGCCAATCACAGTCCAGCTGTTTGGAGTGTCTCAGTCAGTCACAAACCTTTGTCATAATTTCTTTTCTATTCTTAGCTAGCCTTCTGATGAAATCCTTTCTTCTTTTAGTATAGTTTTAATATAATATATATCATAAAATAATAAATCAAGCCTTCTGAAACATGGAGTCAGATCCTTGTCTCTTCCCTCATCCTAAGACCCCTGTGAACACCATCACAATATCCCTGCCCCAGCATCCCAGTGGGATCCCTGCCCTGACCCCCACAGTGGGATGTGTGACCTGACACCCCAGTAGATCCCTGCCCTGACCCTCCAGTGGATCCCTAGCCTGAACCTGGAGTGGGATGTGTGACCCAACATCCCAGTGGATCCCTGCCCTGACCCCCCCCGTGTCCCCCTGCCCTGACCCCGCGGTGTCCCCAGGCAGGGCTGAGTGTCCCCAGGCAGGGCTGAGTGTCCCCCAGTCCCACCTTGCGCAGGGAGCGGGAGGCGATGATGAAGTTCTGGAACTCCACGGCCAGGCGCCGGCACAGCTGCACGGTCTGCACGTGGCACTTGCCCGTGCGGGGGAAGGTGGAGAACAGGAAGCACATGGACAGGGCATCGTCCAGGTCCCTCAGGGCATCCACAAACGTGGGGTACCTGTGCCCGGGGGGGGGGGGGACACGGGGGTCACAGCCAGCCCCAGAGTCCTGCAGAGGCTGCTGGGGCTGGGGGAGACCCCGGCTGAGGAAGGAATGGGAACTGTGGAGCATCCACCTGCACATCCCAGCAGAGCACACAGAGAATGATGAACGGCCTCATTTAGGAATGGTTATGGGGTTGCCTCCCTCCTGTGTGCCCTCCTTGCTCATGGTCACCAAACTCACCAGAGCCTCAGCAGCATTAACCCTCCACCAGCCCTCTGAGGAAAGCACCCCACAGGAAGAGCAGGGGAGCTCCCTGTGTTCTCCTGGAGCCACCCAGGATGGCTGGGCATTCCCTGCTCTCTCATTCCTTCTTCTCCAGCCCAGAAACACAAAACTCCACCAACAACTCCAGAAATTGCACACTGAGGTAGATTCCCAGAGAGGAATGGATGTGGTGAAGGATCAGAGAATCCCAGGATGGTTTGGATGGCAAGGGACCCTAAAGTTCATCCAGTGCCACCCCTGCCATGGCAGGGACACCTCCCACTGTCCCAGGCTGCTCCCAGCCCCAATGTCCAGCCTGGCCTTGGGCACTGCCAGGGATCCAGGGGCAGCCACAGCTGCTCTGGGCACCTGTGCCAGGGCCTGCCCACCCTGCCAGGGAACAATTCCTGATTCCCAATATCCCATCCATCCCTGCCCTCTGGCAGTGGAAGCCATTGCCCCTTGTCCTGTCCCTCCATCCCTTGTCCCCAGTCCCTCTGCAGCTCTCCTGGAGCCCCTTTAGGCCCTGCAAGGAGCTCTGAGCTCTCCCTGGAGCCTTCTCCTCTCCAGGTGAGCACCCCCAGCTCTCCCAGCCTGGCTCCAGCCCTTGGAGCATCTCCATGGCCTCCTCTGCACTGGCTCCAGCAGCTCCAGGTCTCTGCTGTGCTGGCCCCAGGGCTGGATGCTGCAGGTGGCTCAGCCAGGGCTGCCTCACCTCTCCTTGACGATGTGGTCGAGTTTGTAGGTGGGTTTGTTGTCCTTCAGCCTCTCCACAGTGCCCCATTCGCTCTTCCCGTAGGCCTTGCGCAGCTTCCTGACAAACACCTGGGGGGACAGGGGGACATGGGGGCTCTGTGGGCCAGGACAGGCCCCGGGGGGGGCCCCTCGGGGGGGGGGACACTCACCTTGTACTCCCGGAATTTGTTGACAATGGGCTCATGGAGCAGGAATTTGATGTCTTTGAGCAGGTAGAAGGTCCTGGGGGCGGTGGAGCCCTTGTTCACCTTCTTCTTGTGCTTGGGCTCGTGGGGGTAAATCCCCTTGAGGATGCAGAGGCGCCTGGGGACGGGGACAGTGCTGGGACAGGGGGGCCACGGCTGCTCTGTGTCCCCTGGGCCAGCCCAGGCCCCTCCCGTGGAGGGGGAGCCCCAAACTCGGCAGCCTGAACCCAGGGCAGCTGCAGGGCCCCGAGGGACAGGGGACAGGGCCAGTCCAAGGGCCACTCCTCAGGGAGGAGCTCGGGGATTCCCACGGCCACCCCAGAGCCCAGCACAGATCTCGGGGGTCCCTCCTCTGCTCTCCCGGGGGTCCCAGGGGGCTGAGGGGCGATTGCTGGGGCCTGGATGGGCACAGCACAGGAGGGCTGGGGGGTCGGGGGGCCCATGGGGATGCTGGGGACGGGCAGTGGGGGGGGCGGGGGTGCTGAGGCTGTCCCGGGGGACTTCAGGGGTGCCTGGGGGAGGGCTCAGGGGATCCCGGGGTTCGGGTGGTCCCGAGGCCACCCTCGCACCCACCGCCGGCTCCTTCGCCCCTCGCTGCCCTGGGTGGCACCGGGGGAGCTCAGGGCACCGGAGCGTTCGCAGGAAGGGGGTTCGGGGTGCGGGGGGCACCGCAAGGGCCGCGGGGTCCCGGGTCCGGCCGCACCTGAAGTCGGGCAGGCTCAGCTGCAGCTTCTTCCGTGCTCGGTTCCGGGTGATGTAGTTGGTGGCGGCTCCGCGCTCGTACTGGGAAGAGACGGGAGCGTTGGGGGAGCTTGGGGCTGTGGAGGGGACTCCCGCAACCAGCCCGGGGCCACCGGGACCCCCGGGAGCGGAGAGGGAGGAGGGACGGGAACCAGGGCATGGGGGGCTGGCAGGGGGCACCGGGCATGGCCAGCCCGGGGGCAGGAGCGGAACCGGGCACCGGGAGAGGGAGCGAGCACCGCCGCCAGGGAGGGCTGCAGGGGCACGGCGCGGCCGGAGAGGCGGCACCGGGGGAGCAGACACGGGCCGGCACCGGGGGGCACGGAGAGGGGAGGGAGGAACGGCCCGGGGAGGCACCGGGAGGCGAGCCCGCGGCCGAACGGAGAGCGAGAAGGACCCGGTACCTTCTTCTTCTCCAGCCCGCCCATGGCCCCAGCGCCGCCGCCGCCGCCACGTGCCCTGAGCCACGCAGGACCCCACGCTGCCCGCGGCTCGCCTGCGCCCGCCGCCGGGCCTGCGCACACCGGAGCGGCCCCGCGCGGGCACCGAGAACGGCGTGAGCACCGAGAGCAAAGCGGGCACCGAGAGCAAAGCGGGCAAAACGGGCGGGCGGGCCGGGGCAGGCGGCACCGGCGGCTCAGTCAGGCGCGCCGCGGGCAGCCCAGAGCCCTAGCAGGAGGGGTCCTGAGGCGCAGAGCGCACTGGGATATTGCGGTGCCCTGTGGGGCATGCCGGGATATAGCGAGGCAGGGAGGCGCGAAGCACGTCGGGATATACCGCTGCCTAGTAGCGCGGGGCATGCCGGGATGTACCGAGGCGGGGCTGCGCAAGGCATGCCGGGACACAATGAGGCAGTGGTGGCACTGAGCACGCCGGGATATAGCGAGGCAGGGGTGGCGCAGAGCACGCTGGGATATAGCGAGGCAGTGATAGCGCGGAGCATACTGGGATATAGCGAGGCAAGACCGGCGAGCATGGCCTCGGTTCGGGGGCCGGTCACACCCCGGGATGGCGGCCGCGGATCCCTGCCCGGGCCTGCGGGTCCCGCTGCCCTCCTGTGGTCCCTGATGCCGCAGCACCGACCGCAGGCAGCGGCCTGGGGGCCCACAGCAGGGCGGGTGTTTGGCGAACACCCGGGCACGGGGGGTCTCTGTGGCAGGGGCTCCCCAGGCCCGCCCCCGTGCTCGGGTGTCCCCGGGCTGGCGGGACCTGAGCCCAGCCGCGGCCCCGGGGTCCTCTCCTGGCTCAGTACTCTACGTCCTTCCCGGCGGGGGGAGTTCCACCTCGCGGGGCTCAGGATCCCCTCACCCCTGGCTTTAGGGATGTTTGGGGGGTTCGTGCCCCTCCCCGCTCGTCCCGCGGCTGCCGGGCGCGGCTGATCGATCTCCGCTTTCTCAATTAAATCGTTCTTGGAGGCGAGCATGGCGATTCTTTCCAGGGGCCGGGTTTGGCCGGGTTTCAGCCCTGTCTATTTTTGGGCTGTGGCCGCCGGCTCTGCCCCGAGCAGCGGCAGCTCGGGTCGGGCTGCCCCGGGCAGGGTGTCCCGGGCAGGCTGTCCCGGGCTGCCCCGGGCAGGGTGTCCCAGGCTGTCCCGGGCTGCCCCCGCTCCCCTCGGCTGTGCCTCAGCCCGACTTCGGCCCCGTTTGTGCTGACTCGGCCCCGGCGTGCGGAAACGGCCTCTCGCCACACCTTCCCGTGCTATCCCCGCTCCGGGCTCGTCCTGTCTCTCCCGACTGTCCGGCGGGGCTGTGCTACCCCCGTGTGCCCCTGTCCCGCTCCGCCATGGGGCTGCCGCTCGTGCTGCTGCTGCTGCTGCCCGCGCTCCTGCCCGCCCGCTGCTGCGGTGAGTGCGGCCCCGGCCCCCGAACCTGCCCGGGACCCCCCGGGCCGGGGCTCGCCCTGAGCTCGGGAGGTCCCCGAGGAGCGGGGCTGGGGGGATGAGCCCCATCTCCAGCCCCTCGGTGACAAATTATCCGGGGCTCAGCTCCCCCAACCCAGCCCCTGCCGCCCCTTTCCCTGCCCGGAGCCAGCCCGTGCCCACCCCCTCCACGGGTCCCTGGGGACAGAGGTGTCACCCCTGCCGTCCGCCACCCCCTCGGGGTCTCTGTGCTCCTGCTCCATGTCACGTCTCCTTGTTTCTTCCTCTTTTTTTGGTGGGATATCTGGAGGTTATGGGACTTGGGGGGGGACGCGGAGGGTGTGGGGTGTGTGGATGGGTGAGTGCTGGGGGTCCCTGCCCACCGCGGCCCCACGCAGCTTTGGGGGGCTGTGGGGCTGCAGGGCCGTGCCTGGGGGGGTCTCGGCCCTCTCGGGCCCCCTCACCTGCTCTGCCTCTCCCGGGCCGGGCAGAGCCCCCGGCGGGCTCGGCGGGCGCCGTGCGGGCGCTGAGTGCGCGGCTGCTGGGGCTGGCGGGGGACCCCGCGCGGGACCCCGACCCCGCCGTGTACCTGGCCCTGCGCCTGGCCCGCGAGCACCACCCCCGGCTGGAGCAGCGCTACCTGGAGCGGCTGCAGGACGCCTTCCAGCACCCCTACGGCAGGTGGGTGCCCGGGGGGGTCCCACAGGCCTTTGGGGCCGCCCCTGTCCCCCGCACTGACACTCTGTCCCCGCAGGAGCCTGCAGGGCTACGGCCGCTCCCGGTGGGACGCTGAGCGCAGCATGTAAGTGTGGGTGTCCCAGGGTCCCCTCGGGACAGGTGACGCCTCGGGCGGTGTCCTGGGAGGTGACCCGTGCCTTGCAGGAGCACGGAGGAGCCCCCGCACACGGGGCGGCTGGCGCTGTACCTGCTGGGGCTGCAGGCCACCTGTCCCCCACTCAGTCCCCATCGCTCGCTGGTGACATGGCTCAAGTACTACCTGGAGGAGGAGTGGACAGGTGAGGGTGTCCCTGCGGGGTGAGTGCCCCCCTGGCACCTACACGTCTGGCTGTGAGGCACTGGCTCACCCTGGTGACACCACACATTGTCCCCAGGCTCCCAGCAGCGAGGCCACCCCGTCACCAGTTACTACCAGTACGGGCTGGGTGTGCTGGCACTGTGTGTGCACCGCAAGCGGGTGCGGGACCAGGTGGTCCGGCAGCTCCTCATGGCCCAGCACCACGGAAGGCTCGGGCACGGTGACAACACCGTGGGTAAGGGCCCGTGGGCACAGGTGGTGGCACCCCGGCGGTGTGTGACTCTGGGGTGACACCGGGGTGTCCCTGCAGACACTGAGGCCGTGGTGGCACTGGCCTTCACCTGCCTGGAGCGGAGGAGGTTGGTGGGGACCGAGCTGGCAGCCAAGCTCCGGCTGGCTGCACACGAGGCCAGCAGGAACATGGCCAAGGCCCAGGGCCCCGACGGCGTCATCGGCAACATCTACAGTACCCCGTGGGCCCTGCAGGTGGGTGTCACCTGAGGGGACATCTGGGCTGGCACGGAGAATGGGCATGGGGGGAAGTGGGTCTGCAGATGTGGGTGTGGATGCAGATGCAGATGTGGGTGCCCCGGCAGATGCAGCTGCTGTGGGGCAGGTGATGCTCAGCAGTGCAGTGCCCACGTACCCAACCCTCCCCCCTCTTCCCACCACCTCCATCCCTCCCTGTCCCAGGTGTTCCTGGCCACAGGCGACTGCAAGACGGAGCCGGTGTTCGGCCAGGCCATGGCTGCACTGCTGGAGAACCTGGAAGCCTTCGGCACCGCTGCCACCATGGCCCAGGTGCTGCCGGTGCTGCACGGCCACTCCTACCTGGACATCGCCTCCAGGCACTGCGGGGAGGAGCCAGGTAGGAGCTGGGCTAGCGGGATTGGGGTCAGTGCTGGTGTCACCACAGGGGTGGCTGCGTGTCACCAGTGCCGTGGTGGCTTCTCGCAGACACGCTGACACCCCTGGACATGGAGCCCCTGCCTGAGGTGCCGGGGAACAAGATGGTGCAGCTGGTGGTGGAGTGTCCCCTGCCCTGGTGCTATGACCTCCAGCTCTATGACCGCCTGGTGCCCGTGCCCGCCGCCGCCTCCCTCCTGGACGTGCTCCGGGCGGCTGCGGCGCTGGACCCCCGTGAATTCAGGTGTGTGGGGCTGTGGTGGCCACGTGTCCTGCACCTGTGCCCTGTGCTGGGCTCACTCTGGTTCCCAGCTCACAGCTCCCTTGGAGCAGCTCTGTGCCCCCCCCAGCAGTGCCGAGGCCGCAGCCTCGCCCCCCTGATCCCGCTGTCCCCCCCTCCCAGGTTCCACACCCAGGACACCCCCCAGGGCCCCTTCCTGACCCAGGTGCTGGGGCTGGAGGCCCGGCAGGAGAAGCGGAACTACTGGCAGATCCTGTCTGCGCCCAACACCCCCCTGCAGATGGGTGAGTGGTGGGTGGGGGGTCCCTGGGGAGGTGGCAGGGGTCCCCCACAGCCCCATGGCTGCTGTCTCACCCAGACTGTTGTCCCTCTCCCCACAGGTATCGCCGAGTACAGACCCCCGGATGGGGCGACCCTCATCCTGCGCCTCAGCGAGTGGTAGAGGGTGGGGGGTGATGGCAATGAAACCCGCACTGTGGGCACAGGACCTGCCGGCTCCCTGCCTCCTGCTTTCCGTGGGCCAGCACCCCAAATCTGCCAGGGGTAGGAGGAGGGGACACACACCATGCTCTGTGTCCTACAGGTGCAGTGGGACAGGAGCACCAAAACCAGCAGCTCCTCCGGTCCTGGTCGCACTCAGGAATGGGGCAGGCGGCCGCTGGGAGCAGCCGTTTTTGGGATGTCCAAAGCATTTTTGGGACGTCCAAAAATCTGGGGAGCCCGCGTCAGCGCTGTTCATCCCCAGCAAGCTGGATCCGCCTCCTCTGTAACCCCCCGGGGATTACTGAGCCCCCACTGTCCCAGGGCTCGGGCACCGCAGTGCCCGAGGGGCACCCCCAAATCTGCACATCTGTGACTCCCCCGGGCGTTTAACCCGGCCCCCAAAATCCCCGGGGCAGCGGCGGGTCGGGGTCGGGGGCGATGGGGCCGGGGGCCGGGCGGGGCTTGGAGGCGGTTCCGCTGTCGCCGCGGAGGGCGCTGAGGGCCGGGTGCCCGGCGGGCGGTGCTGGCTGTGCCCCGCTGCCCCGGTGCCCGTGCCCGCCGTGCCCCGCCCGCCCGGCAGTGACGCGCTGCCCTCGCAGGGCGGAGCCTCCGCCCTCCGCTCCCGCCATCACCAAACTTTCCGCCCGCCCCGGCCGCGGCCGCCACCGCCTCCCGGCACATGGCACCGCCAGCCCGGCGCTGAGCCCCGCCAGCACCCCCGGCCGGGGCAGCGCCACCAGGGCAGCGGGGACAGCGCGGCCGCCGCCGCGGGGAGCGGGGACAGCGCGGCCACCACCGCGCTAGCGCCGCTGTCACCGGCAGCCATCGCGGGGCTCCGGGAGGACGGGGCAGAGCGGCGAGGGGCGGCCGGAGGCGGCGGAGCCGGTGCCCATGTGCCCGCGGTCGCGGCGGGGCGATGAAGCCGCGATGAGCGCGGCGGGCGCGGGCACCGTGCGGCCCTGGAAGCCCGACCCGGGGCAGGCGCACGGGGGGCGGCCGCCGGGGCCGGCGCTGCCGCTGACCCTGAGCGTGCTGGCCTGGCTGGGCACCGGCACCACCATGGCCGGCCTCAACAAGTGGATCTTCGCGGCGCACGGGTTCCGCTACCCGCTGCTGCTCTCGGCGCTGCACATGCTGTCCGGCGTGGCCGTGGGGTACCCGCTGGGCTGGGCGCGGGCACCGGGCCCCCGGCCCCGCGCCAGGATCTACCTGCTCAGCCTCACCTTCTGCACCAGCGTGGCCCTGGGCAACCTGGGCCTGAGCTACGTGCAGCTGGACGTGGCCCAGGCCGTGGCCACCACCACGCCGCTGGTGACGCTGCTGCTGGGGCTGCTGGGGGGCCGGCGGCCGCACCCGCTGCAGTTCTGGGCCATGGGGCCGGTGTGCGCCGGGGCCGCCTGCAGCATCGCCGGCGGGCTCTGCTTCTCCCAGCCCGGCTGCGGCTTCCTCCTGGCCGCCACCGTGCTCCGCGCCCTCAAGTCCATCCAGCAGAGTAAGTGACACCTGTTCCTGTCCTGCATGTCCACCCCTGGGGCGCGCGGGTGCTGGTGTCACCTCGGTGCCACCCCTGGTGCTGGGGGTTCTCCCTGCTCGTCCTGCCACCCTCTGTGCACCCTGGTGTCATCCCAGCCCCAATGCCACCCCACCCTATCACTGGTGTCACCCTAATGCCTCCTTTGTGCTTTGACCGTGGCCACAGTGTCACCCAACCGTGGTGGCACTCTGGCTCCCAGTTTCACCCCAGTCCCGGTGCTACCTGGTGTCCCTGTTGGCCTTGGTGCCACCCTTGTATCACCCCAGAGCCACCCTTGCCCCTCTCAGGGCTGTGTTGTGCTTGTGGCCCTACCCTGAGGTGACATGACTCTAGTTTGTCAGTGGTGACACCATTAGTGTCCCTGTGGTGTCCTTGGTCCACGGGGGGTGGAAGTGCCCTAGCTTGGCTCAGGGTCACCCAGCCCGTCCCATCCCTGTGGGCTGCTGGACCCCCTGCGAGTCCCCCCTTCCCAGGGTGGCCACAGTGCTACCTGGGCCATAGTGTCCTTGGCACATGGCAGTGAGGAGCCAGCTGGGATGGTTCTGGCTGGGAAGGGAGCATTTCCTCTGGAGCCTGTGACTCGGGGCACCGTGGGGACAGGCTCTGGCATGGGGCCCTGTGCCCACCCCAAGGGCTCCATGGCTGTAGTGGCGTGCTGTGGCCCCCCAAGGGACACCACTGGTCATTGTGCCACTGCTCTGTCACCCTTTCACCCCTGGTGGGACATGGACAGTGGCCCTGGGGAGGATAAGGGCATGTCTGTGTGTTGCAGCCAGCCATGCTGTGCCTGCTGTCCCCACTGTCCTCGGATGACCTGGAGGGGGGGACATGGGGACAAATGCTCTGAGACGGGCTGGGAAAGCTGCCCTGTCCAACCCTCCCAAACACAGGCACCCGTGAAAGCAGACACCCTCGGAATCAGGGCATCCCCAGAGTGGGACACCCCCTAAACCAAGGAATCCCAGAAATGAAGGACTCCTGGACAGAGACACATCCAAACCAGGGAACCTCTAAACTGGGACCTGCCCAAACCAGGGCACCCCCAGCCCATGGAAGGAACTGCCCCCCTTCATTTTCCCCTTCCCAGTGACATTTGGGATCTCTTTACTGCTCTGTCTCCCGTGGGTGCTGGGTGTCCCTGCAGTGGGTGGCTGTTCCCGTGGGATGTCCCACTGACTGTCCCCCTGTCCCCCCAGGTGTGCTGCTGCAGGAGGACCGTCTGGACGCACTGTCCCTGCTGGGCCTGACGTCCCTGCCCAGCTTCGTGCTGCTGTTCGGGGCGGCCGTGGCGCTGGAGCTGGGCCCCTCGTGGCAGGGCGTCCTTCGCCCCGACGCCGCGCTCTGGGGCTGCGTCCTGCTCAGCTGCCTGGGCTCCGTCCTCTACAACCTGGCCACCTCCTGCCTCCTGTCCCTCACGTCTGCCCTCACGCTGCACCTCCTGGGCAGCCTCACCGTGGTGGGCAACCTGCTGCTGTCGTGGCTGCTGTTCGGCACGCGGCTGGGCGCGCTGGGCTACGCCGGCGTGGCGCTGACGCTGGCGGGGATGGTGCTGTACCACCAGCCCCGGCTCCTGGCCGCCTGCTGGGGCCTGCGCGGGCTGTGGCAGCACCCGCGCCACGAATAGGGACCCACGGGGGGTCAGGGCTGGGAGGGCTCTGGGGGAGTGCTGTGCCCACAGTGTGTGCCAGTGTGTGTGACTGTGCACGTGTGTGCCAATGTGTGTGACTGTGCACGTGTCTGTGCCAGTGTGTGTGACTGTGCACGTGTGTGTGCCAGGGTGTGTGACTGTGCACGTGTGTGCCAATGTGTGTGTGACTGTGCACATGCATGCCAGTGTGTGTGACTGTGCATGTGTGTCTCAGTGTGTGTGACTGTGCACATGCGTGCCAGTGTGTGTGACTCTGTGCCAGTGTATGTGACTCTGTGCAGTGTGTGCCAGGGTGTGTGTGAGTCTGTGCCACACGTGTGTCAGTGTGCATGGTTGCGTGCATGTTGTGTTTTCTGGTGTGCCCAGAAGTGAGTGTATACGCCCTGCTTTGCACAGTATCAAGGTGTGCTGGTGAGCACAGCACTGTGCACATGGATGTGCTGATGTGCACACGTGATGTGTGCACTGCTGTGTGCACATGTGTGGAATTGCACATTCTTGGGTGTGAGTGGGTCTGTGCACAGCTCTGTGCTTGTGGGTATGCACAGGCTCTGCAGGTGTGAGCATGGCCCTGTGTGGGACATGCCTGTGTTGATGTGTATGACACTGCACACATTGGTGTGCACAGCTCTGTGTTCATGTGTCGGTGTGCATGTGTTGGTATGCACATGTTAATGTGCATGCATTGGTGTGCACATGTTGGTGTGCACAGGCTCTGTGTGCACATGTTGGTGTGCACAGGCTCTGTGTGCCACCAGGTCTCGTGCTTGTGGGCACCTGTGCATTGCCCCAGGCCGTACACAGGTGTGTGTACAGTGTCTGTGTGGCACAGGTGTGCTGGTGTGTGCAGGCTGGGCGTGCACAGCTCCGTGTGTGTGTGTGTGTGTGTGCAGGTGTGTGCTGCTGGCAGGTCCCGCTGTGCACTGGCTCTGCACGTGTCCCTGTGTGCACACAGGGCCCAGGGACATGGCTCTGGACACAGCTCTGGATACACAGCTCTGTGCATCCAGCTGCTGTCCCACCTGGGGAAACGGACGTGTCTGTGTGTCTGGCTGTGTGTCTGTGTGTCTGTGTGTGTGTGTCACTACTGAGCTCTGCTGGCTGGAGTGGCCCCTGGCTCTCTGTGTACACTCGGTTCTCATGGCTGAACTGAACGCCCAGGACAGGGCAGGTGTGTCCCCTCTCCTGTCCCCGTCCCCACCGTGTCGTGACCATCCCACGGGGCTGCCGGTGGTGCTGCCGATGTTGTCCTTGTCCCCACCACGCCCCTCAGCCCCCACAGCTGTCCCCACCCCTCCCAGCTCGCTGCAGACTGGCATCCGTGGCAGAGATGGTGAGAGCCCAGCCGAGGGCACGGGAGCAGCCTGGACCAGCTGCCATCGCTCCAGGACAGTGGTGGGCTGTGACACGGGACACTGCTGGGCTGTGACACAGCACATGCTCGCCATGGCAAAGGGACAACCCGGTGTGTGTGCCTGGCACCGCTGCCGGGTCCGTGGTGGCCGTTGCCACATTTGTATCCCCACGCCGGGGCCGAAGGACCCAGCTCCGATTGCACTTGTCCTAAAATAAAACTCTATTTTTGTTGAACTCCACCCTTGGCTCCCAGCGATCTCCTGGCCAAGAAGGAAGGAAGGGAGGAGCACCTAGTGCAGGGATAGGAAAGTGAGGCACAGAAGTGCCTCAGGATGTGGCAGCTCTTGGGAAGCTGTGTCCAGCATCTCCAGCTCCAGCAGGGACAGCTGTGGCTTGGCAGCCCCAGGGCTGGCACTGGGACACCCCACAGGACACGGGAGGGATGCAGTGACACAGAGAGCAGTCACTGACCACAAGTGTCTGGAAAAGGGTGGGTGCTTTGCCCTGCCCTGGGGTGCCATGACACTGGAGCATCCTGTCCCCTGAGTCATGGAATCATGGAATATCCTGGGTTGGAAAGGGTCCACAAGGATCATCGAGTTCAGCTCCTTGCCCTGCCCAGGCAGCCCCAAAAGTCACACCATGTATTGCTTGTTCCACCCTTCTCAGCCTGGTGACTCACTTGAACACAAAAACACAGCCCCGCTTCCCCCGGAAAATCCTCACTGGTTCCCGCCCTCTTTCCCAAACTGCGATTTTTTTCCATTATTGGGGCAGTGATTTGAGGCTGCTTCCAGCAGCCCCCGAGGAACGGCTCCTTCCCAGCACACGGGTGAGGGGCGGGCAGCTCTCCGGGGCGTGCCCAGCGTGCCACCGCTGCTGCCACCTTTGCCAAGGTGCCCCAGGTGCGGCTGGAGTGGTGCCCATCCCAAAAAGGACACAAAGGGCCCGTAGTTATCGGCCAGCGGCCCCTGCTCTGGCCGGGAGCGTGTTTGCTTTCTGGGCTCACATTCCAGAGGCATTTTCACAGCGGGGAGTGTTGGAAGGAGGAGTGAGACCTGCAATCCTGCCACCTGCAGCATGGCCGGCTCAGGAGCCCTCCCCAGGGGCTCCTGCCTATCCCACTCATTTGCTGGCACTGGGGTCTGCCTGGGTCCCGGCTCCATCCATGGCTTTGCCTTTCCCACCTTGGATCCAGTGCCGTGCGGTGCTCCCAGTGCCCTGCAGCTCCCTGTGTGTGTCCCTGTGCAGTGGTGACAGTAGCTGGGGGTTCAAGGGCAGCATTCCTGCTGGGATTGGGGTTGTGTTGCCTGTGGAAAGCCCAGCAGTGGTGGGAGGGGTGGCTGGCTGTGGTGACCCTCTCTCTGGGTATTCCAGGCCATGATCTCAGCCTGGTGTTATCCCTCTGCTTTGGCCCCAGGAAGGATTTGGTTTCCCACCTCTCTGACAGCTGCCCATGTGCTGAGCCTGGTGCTGCTCCGGCCAAGCTGGATGAGGGAAAGGCATCCCAGCCCTGGGGTTTTTGGGAAGGGAGCAGATGGGACACCTTCCTGGAGAGCAGCCCCTGGCACAGGGCAGGAAGAGCCCAGCTGGAACAACGGGCACAGCCCTCACATGGTAGGGGTGGCTCCTTCTGAGGAGGGGTCACAGCTCTGAGGGATGGGGGGCATTTCCACATGCTTGGAGGTGCTGGCTGACAAAGAATCATGGAATCACAAGATGCTTTGGGTGGGAAGGGAACTTAAAGGTCATCTCATCCTACCCCTTGCAATGGGCAGGGACACCTTCCACTATCCCAGGGTGCTCCAAACCCTGTCCAGCCTGGCCTTGGACACTTGTAGAGATGCAGGAGCAGCCACAGCTTCTCTGCAGAGCCTATTCCAGGGCCTGCCCACCTCCCAGGGAATGATTTCTTCCCAATATCCCATCCATCCCTGCCCTCTAGCAGTGGGAAGCCATTCCCTGTGTCCTGTCCCTCCACACCCTTGCTCAAAGTCCTCTCCATCAAGGAGCTCCCGGCAAAGTGTGAAAGTCCAAGGTGGGAGAAATAAACCCGAGTCCAGTGGGACAGGGTAGTTATGGCATTGTGCCAGAGAGTTTTCATGGATCTGCTCTGAACCACTGCTGAACCCTTCCTTGGAAGTGGTGATGGAATGTGCTGGGATGGTGCTGGGGCAGGAGCAGCATGTGCCCACACAGGGGAGAGGAAATCCAGGCTGGATTTACTGTGTGCCTGGGAGCACAGGGTGGAAATGATCTCTGTTTCAGGACAGGGATTAACTGCTTCCCTGGGGCCTGTCTGCCCTGGCACAGCAGGCTCTGGGATCTGCAGCAGGGACAAACACTTGCTAAGCTGGGGAGCCTGAGCCAGGAAATGACATCCTGGGATATGCTGGGCTGTGCTCTCAAACCTACCACATCCCAGTCCTCAAACAGTGTCAGGGACTGTCCTGGCTATGGAGCTGGAATTATGGCAAGGCCTTTTTTAGGGTAGATGTAAGAAGATTGCATTTTTCCTTGTCGGACAGCCTAGCCCAGAGAGCTGAGGGTGTTTGAAGCTGCCCAAATGAGACTGGAGGCCAGGAGATGGACAGGATGACCCCTCAGACTCCCTTCCACCCCCACAGCCTCGTTCCAGCACCCAAAAACCCCCTTCAGGCTTTGTCCTTGACCATTTGGTGGCTTCCCTGATGGTTTCACTGCTGGCTTCACTGCTGGCTCTGTGTCACAGGCTCCTGCCCTGCCCTGAGCAGGCTCTTGGCTGAGTAGCTGAGTTTCTAAAAGATGAAATCACAGGAGCTTAAAGACATTTTAAAAGTTTTAGAATCAGAGGAAGATGGAGTGGTTAAGGTTGGATATGCTCTCTAAGATCAACAAGTCCAACTGTTCCCCCCAGCACTGTCAAGGTCAGCACTAACCCATGTCCCCAGGTGTCACATACTCACATTTTTTTAACATTTACAGGGATGGGGACTCCACCACAGCCCTGAGCAGCCTGTTCCAGTGCCTTACCACCCTTTCTTTGAAGAATTTTTCCCTAATATCCAACCTAAACCTCCCTTTGTGCAACTTGAGGCCATCTCCCTTGTCCTATTTCTCATTCCCTGGGAAAAGAGCCTGCCCCCCACCTGGCTCCAGCCCCTCACATCTCTTTGGGCTATGGGCTAACCCCACCAAGGAATGGGCTTCTTCACCATCAAGGAGCAGCTTGCTCAAATCATAAGACATGGAATGATTTGAGTTGGAAGGGACCTTAAAGTTCATCTCATTCCAATGCCCTGCCGTGGGCAGGAACAACAACCATGGATCTCCCAGGCACCTCCTGAAAAACAGTTGTGGCAGTCAAGCTGGGGAAGAGAAAGGTGAACATCTTTGGGTCTCCCAACCAGAGATGCTGGAGCCTGTGCCTGTCCTTCCCTCTCTGGAAGGCAGCAGATGACAGGCCTGTGAGTTGCTGTCTCAAAACCCAAAGCTGTATCCCAGTTAGGAAAAACAAGTGTTGGTGACATTCCAAGTCTCCTGACTCACAGCAAGTTGCTGTCCTGCCTCAGCAGCACATTTTGTGCTGGAATAAAACAACACTCCCTGAGCACGTGGTGGTCTCGGAGTGCCTGTCAAGG